TATGGAAATATCCAAAGCTGTTGACCTCTTACCCATTAATTAACTGCATATTACAGATAGCTTGATCTATTTGCTGTCTGTCCTCTAGTCTTTTCTCTCTCCCTTGATGCAAGTTGCCAAAGAGACCCCAAAACCTGTAGGTGCATTTGGGGAGCAAACTGCCACACAAGTCAACTAACCACGAAGGGTGGCACACGACTCATTGCCTGTAGCAGTGCCTTCTGTTTCCGCAACATATAGTGATTTCATTGTTCCAATTCTTCCTGTAAAGAGCTTATTTTCATTCCTGAAAAAAGCACACAATCAAGATAGTAGTTTCACAGAACTTGCAGTCATCTATGTGCAAGAATTAAGGTTAACGGCCTGACAGGTTTGTTTTTTTGCAAAGCCCTTCTGTTAGCAGATTTTAACAAAAAAAAAAAAGGTGACTTTTCTACTAAAAGTCTTCCACTTACCTGTGGTAATGAGATTCTCCCCAGAGAATGTGGAAAATGCAGGAACAGTGCATCTAACACCCTACAAAATTCACAGCTTCTGCACTCTCCCTACATAGGGCAGCTCAGAGAAAAACATTATGAAGAGGCTTAAAAACTACAGAAATCACCATTTTCCATCAGCAGGAAAGGTGCTGTAGGATCTGCTGTAGGAAAGATGCTCCTGGTCTGAGGTTGGGAGGGCAAACATAACCCCTCAACTACTCTTCAGCTTCTGTAGATAACTGAAAAGTCACTAAAAGCTTTGTGTAGATAAGCGTAAACTCTATTTGAAAATGGTTTATTATGCTAAGTTGTTTAACTTAAATATAGCTACACTACAAAAAGAGAATGGATATTCCTGCTCATGTAATATATACTATGTAATGATACACAAGTGATTGATACAGCATTATATATTGTTGACAATATATATTGTATGTGTGCATATATATATAGCCACTAATATTTGACTGTAACAAAAGGAAAGAAGGTTAAGAAATGTTTTTACAATGTAGAAAGATCTTTCCATATGTTTTCTTCTTAGGTTAGCTGTGTTTTACTTACCATTCACCTACTACTGTGTGTAGAAAGTGAGATGATGGGTAGTGCATTGCTTTGAAAGTCTTGCCCTATATGCACTATTTTTTTACTGCGTATTTATTTTGAAGTTATCCTTTATCGCTCAGGCCAACGGCTGCCACCTATGCCAGTCTATTAATCTTTAGGATCATGTAATCAGAAGGCAAAATGTAATCTTCATGCAAAAGCATTTTCCTTTTTCTTTTTGCTTGTATGAGAAGGACCACATTTTTCCAATAGTTTTTCAAAGAAAGTGCACTTTTACAGCTTTAGCACATAAGGAAGTAATTTTGCATTCAACAAGAATGCCAGTTTGTCTAAATAGAAAATAGATTATTTTCCAAATCCACAAAAATGTTAAACAGTTCACTGCTAGATCATGTGCAAGACCTGTCTTGCATTGCTGCAGCTATTGATGTTGGATTACTAAAGTAATATGTCTAATATGTATTTTGTTAGAGGGAGATGGGTTTGGGCAGAGGTTGCACATTTATATTCCTCCTTCTCACTGCTCAGGGAACACATTTCTTTACAAGTTTAAACTTTATGTGTTTAGAGTTAATGAAAGAAGGGCAAGAAGATCAAAATTTAAATGTGAGCCTAGTTTTGTTTGATTAATCTGATTCTTTTTTAAAATAACCTGAAGCCAGATATAGAAGACATTAGGAAGAAAGGGAAAATATATTAGTACTAGAAAACTCAAAAAGAAGAAAATCTGAATAAACCACATGGTTAACTATAACTACCTTTTTTCAACTGCTTCACAAAAGTGTGGATGGAAATTTAATGGCATTCTGGAGAGCCATAGGTACTAAAATCAACACCTAAATGCCCTTAGGCATTTGTACTTTTATACAAAATTTTAAATGGCTGAAATAAATTAAGTACTAACAAAACAAGAGCATTTTTGTGCCATTCATAGAACTATACTCAAATTTATTTCTCATTCTCAGATTTTTTTGATCTTGAAATGTGCAATAAAAGATAATGCAAATATACAGCCAAACTCAAATTAATTTCTCATCTAAAAAAATAATAAAACAAAATTTAACAGCAATGGTTAGTGATATCTTTTGTGACCTCTTGGACTATGATAGAGTGTTATGTTTTAAAGTAATAAAAAGCATCTCAAAACAATCTTGTTATAAGCACATAATATAATAAGTTGAGACTTACTATACAGTACAATTCATCAGTTTCATATAGATGTTGTATTGATTGTCATTTCTAGATTATGAATCATAACAAGGTAAAAGCAACAAAAATAAAAAAAACTTTGAGAAAATCTAATGTTTACTTCCTAATTATTATGCCAAGGCCATCTGGAGCTGTTCTACTGCTTAAGATAATTCAACAAAGCTATAAACTGTAACAATTAACCGAGAATAACATAAATTACAGAAAATAAACAGAAGAGATCAGCTGATCACCCAAAAGTGCCCTATTCATCTTACCTAGGATGCATGTTACAGGTTACATATTACATCCAGTTTGCACTTTAGAAATTAAGAGCACAAAGGGTGTTATTTAAAGTATTGAAAAAAAGGATACTCCTCGACTCAAGCCTAATATTAAAAATAGACATTTTCTTCAAGCTATTCCCAGCTAAAATTTGGACAAAATAGTGTGAGCATTACATTTTCTACTTTTCTTGCACATCACAGAATTCAGTCACAACTTTTAAGAGCTTGTTGGAAATACAGATTACTTAAGCCAAGAACAAAACTTTCTAGCATGGTCATATGTTTATGTTGCCCAAGATAATACAATCCATCTGCTATTAAGTCCTCACTGAATATTCTTAGTAATAAATATGAATAGAAAACAAGATTTTTAAGTCAAAACCGGAAAACAGAGAGCCTTAGGAAAAAATATATTTAGGAACCTGAGACAAATTATACATGTTAATGTTGGAGTCACTGAGAACAGTTAGCACGATGTAACCAAATGTCAACTGGAGTATTTTGCACTAACTTACCAAAGAGGTCTGTGTTTAATGAGTATACGAATACTTGGTTTCTAAGTTTTCAGTTTCAGATGGTGAAGATTAAGTGCTAAGAGTGTTACTGTAAATGTTTCAGTGAGATGAACATCACTGATTTTCTAATTTTACCACATGGTTTATTTCACAAGAAAACAAGCACCAGTTACAAAGTTCTCCTGCAATTCAGTAAACAGCAACTCCTTCAAAAAAAAAAAAATAGGGGGAACAATTCCCTTCTCTTTTTATGCAGGATACTCAGTTTGGTTTGCAAAGTATTAGGAGAATAATGTGAACCTCCTGGTAGAATACCACAACTAAATTTCTCAAAAGCCACTCAGTTAATCTCAGTGTTGAATCTAGCTGTTTTAAATTATTGTAATGTATAATAACAGTCTTAATGACAATATAGGTGCACAGAGCCAAAAAAAAGCTAGAAGCAATGGCCAAACCCAGGAACTAAGAGCCAGCTGAAATGACAACAAACATATGGCCATTAACTTAAGAATGGAGGAGCTGAGGAATGCAGCTGCCTGTGGTCTCCTGAAAGATCCCAAGGAATGAAATGCTGTGAGGATTGGCACTGCCTGGATGAGCAGTACTACTCCTGAAGATGGTAGACCCTAAAACGGAGTCAACCATCAACTCATGGTGGAATTCAGAGATTTCTGTGGTCAGAATATATTCATTCCATTGGCCTCATAACGTACATCAACAAATTAATATTGTATGGATGTCATTTCAAAGCCTACTGAAGACGAAGAGCCATTATTGAAGCCATTAGAGCACAGATGGTTCAAACTATATGCAGATATTCATACTTGCAGTTCTGCATTATAACTGCTTTTTTTTTTCTGTTGAACTGTAATGAATTGTCTCATAATCTATTCCATCTTCTTGCCATTAGCAGGCTTTGAATGTTCACAAATAGGAGCAAAGAACTCATTTTCCAGAGCTTTAATCACACAAAGAGGGAATGCCTAATTCTCTAAATGAAATGGTCTGTGATCACTGAAGCAGAGATTTAATATATCACGGCAAATTAGGTAGATTTTAATAAATTACTTATCTCTCTGAATACTTTACACATGCTTATGAAGAAACATAGCCTGTTTGCAAACAGTGAAAATCCACAGTCTATAAAATCCTTTGAAGAAAATGACAAATAAAAAAGTAAATTAAAAAATGAAATGTATTATATCCTCGTTCTCAAGAGACAATCCTTTTGTGGCATTGATTCACAGCTCCATTAAAAATATCAATTAAATCCTTCATTGAGATTGGTTAAATGCTAGAAAATTAACTTTCCAAGCTGCTTTCTAGACACTGGTTATTAGGATACAACAAATCATTATATGTGTCTGATCTAAGTTCTAAAAGTGACAAAAAGCCAAATGAAAACACAGTTGCCTGTCCCTACAACTAAACTAGGTGAAGCAAAATCTGATATTTTATAGCTTTTCTGTGCTTTGACAGATGTTGGCTGAAAGTAAATCTTTTACAGTATAGAAAAAGGATTGTGCCTGCCCTCCCCCCCACTTCAAATCATCATAATCATAAACAGCTGATTATAATGTTTGGAGAAGGGCAAAAATTATTTTAAAAAAGGCTGCAGTAATTTAATAAGTCCTGCAACTAGCCTCATTCTTTATATTTAATTGATAGGAACTGCATGCATCAAAGAAAACACATACTGAGATTTAATGTGCATAAAATGGATATTAGCATTTTAAAGAGGCAGATTAACACATTAATCCAAGTAATTTTCATATATTGCTTTTAATAAAATCTTCACAGTATAAAATTCTTAATGAGGCTAATCACAGGCATTCCATTTAGTGGGGTGATTAGGGATAACATAAAAGTATTTTTAATCAGTTTTCTAAGGCTTATGGCTTTTTTATTAAAAATTAAAAATTTGACTTGCATTTTTATTACTGTTTTATGTAGGAAAAATGTTGAAAATGCAAATAAAGCACATCATTCAATCATGTAGGTATTAATTATTTACAAGACGTTGTCCATTGTGGAGAGATGCTTAGCCTTAGGGGGGAGATATAAAAACAAACAGACTGAAAAGTATACAAAATTTTACAACTGCAAATCAAGCGTCCTTTCCATATTAATTATACATTAAATAAACTGTAAGAATCACAAAGATCTCATCTTGGAAGAGCTATCAAGCATGTATTTACACTGGGAGAAGGGGCTCCTGTAGGCCAACTTCCCTTTCATGCCTCCTCGGCGTCTCCGCACTCCTCGCGGACCGAGCGCAGCGCGTCAAGGGCCTCCACAGTTACTCTGAGCTTCCCAATTACTGCCCTCTCATCTTGGGAATCGAAAACTAGAAGGGAAACATCAGAAAATGGTCTTAGGAACTTCATTTCTTTTTTTTTTTTTTTTTCCTGCTAGCATTTGTGCAGATTCAAAGGCACCTATATATGCTCAAAAATAAAATAGCTTCCAGCTTTAGCACTCAGGTTAAGAGAAAGGCTTCATTTCTTATGGCAAGGAGCTGGTGCTCAGCCTGCTGGAAACTGAGCACTTCAAGCAGCAGAAAGTACACAAAAGAAGTATTTGTGTTGGAATTAACTTGGAAATGAAGAGAACTGTGTGTCTGACACATTGCTAAATTCATTGCTCATTTTTCATAATAAATCAAGTGCTGAGACTTCAGAATCCAAGCTCTGTTCAAGACGCACATGAATGCTTATTAATTCCTTGAATTAAAAAAAAAGTTCCCAATGAACCTATTTTTCTACACTGTGTATGAGACTGGGCCCAATCAGCCAAAACAGGTACTAGTCTTTCAGTGGCAAATTGTTGTTCCATTTGGTGCAGTGCACAACTATTTTCATTCCATACTTGATCTGCTGTGATGGAAAACATGTTGCCAACAGTCAGAAAGAGGTTCCTTCTCTGTTCTATTTAAAAAACCATAAGACTGCTTAACTTGACTCTAGAAGGAGTTTGAATAACAACAAATAGTCTCAGCACAACTTTGTCAGCTTTAGCTGCATCTTTCTGAGGAACAGAATTACTCTCTATGAGCAAGGGAAATGGGTATAGTAATAAGAAAGGTAATATCACTCATAATGTATAGGGAGAAAATAAAGATTAGTTCATATGCCTTAGGATAAGGCAAAGGAATGTTGTGCCAGAAGAGCTATAAATAGCCGATTTTGCATCATAATGATTTCCTTTTGACAAACACTAGTAAACAAGACAGTCATTCCTGCCAAAATAATTATCTCTGATTGCAATTAATAAGGAGTTTTAAGAATTTTGTGAAAAGTGACTTGCAGCAGTGCAAAAATCATAGACTAATCAGTCTCATCAAGGAGAAGCTATGAGAAAGAGTCATAAAATCCAGAACAAAAGCCATTTTCTAGTGATAGATTACGAAATACCTGTTTGAAGGACATGAGCTTTCAGTAGGTGCTTTCATGTAGCTACTCAGAGAAATTATCGGCAGAGAAAAGATCAAGTGGTTCGGCCACAAAACTGTATCAAATACAGATATTATTTTTCCAGGGTATGGAAATTTGATTCTTCTTATCATTTTCCTTATGTTCCTCAAACTTTGACATATATTTTCGATATTTTAGCAACAACATGGATACAAATCACGCATGATCAGGGAAATGGATAAGATAACCCCCTCCTGTCCCTACTGGGCTCTCCATCACTGGAGGTCCAGCAAGTCCCATTAACCTGGCACTCTACCAGGCTGACCAGGTCTTGCTGTTATGAAGACTATGTTTCAAACAATGCTGCTCTGCTTCTAGTCATCAAGCTAGCTCATTTTCCTTCGGACAAGAGTTTGTGTCCTAACAGATACATTTTCACCTTCTATTTTAATTTTTGTGGAGAAAGAGAATGGAGAGGAACACATAAGGCGAAAATGCACTTTTGGTAACTGCACTGTGCTGATAAATCCACCAACTGCATTGATACTAGCATTAATACTCTTATTAACATCAATTATGTTTTATAGAAAATCCTAGTTGATGCACCCTAAACCGTGTTAGGTTTTAAAACTGATTACCCAAAACAAGTAAAGAAAACTTGAGAATGCTGTGGGTTTTGTCTGTTTGTTTCAAATCAGAAGAATTATAAGCACTAACAAAGTTGCACAGCTTTTAATGATTTTTGCAAATACAGAGGTCTATATTACAAATACTAAATAAAGTAAAAGTAAAAGTAAAGTAAAGTAAAAATACTAAAGTATTTTTTCTTCAAACAGGCATTACATTACTAAAGCTTACAGAAGCAAGTAAAAATATGATTAATAATTTTTCATTTACAAAACGTTACAATAAAGTAACTTTTAAACACTTACCATCAATATCTTGTTCAATGATATCTCTTTCTTTCTGAAGTATCTCTCTCAAACTGACATAAGCAAAACCAATATCTTCACACTCAAGCTCCTGTTCATCTTCTGGAGGATCGCTAACCACTGTAAACCGTAGGCTAAGCATAGAAAAAAGAAAAAAGATATTTTTACCTTCAAAATAGGTGGAAAGTTAAGTCAAAACCCCACAAAAGCCAAAAAAACTCTATATTGCCAGCTGAGCTTAAAACAGATCTGTCCAACTATGATGCTTACCATCATACCATACTATACAGATTAATTCACATGACCATAAGTGTACCTATGAAAAAAATTAAATAGCAATAATATTTCATCAGACATGGATTGTGATCTACATTTTGCTGTTAAAAACCTTTTGGCACAATATAAACTCAAAAAGATTTCATTGGTTCATCTGCATTACTGTTTCAGCTTGGATCTGGAGCACGAAGCCAATCTGCTGAGCTGCCCCCAGCTGCTGTACCTTGGTTCTCACAGTATTCCTGGAGCAAGTTAATTGGATTACTTTTCAGTTGGACTAAAATAAAACTGAAGACTTGCTCCAGGAGCACTATCCCTAATGCATTCCATTGCAAATAGCTTTCAGTCCATGGGACCACCTGGGCATGCCCTGAAGTCTGTTTTACTCTAGAGATCCTCTCCTGCTGGTCTGCACTATTTGCTAATCAGGATTTTGCCTTAAACTCTGGCTATGCATTTTCTTGCCTTTACATCGAGCAGTCCAGGAGACCCGAGAAACATATTTGAGAGCAACTATATCAAATACCTGCCTGTTATCAGAAATACTAGCATGAAACAAGTATTTCCAAGCAGCAAGTGCAAAATATTTGGCTGAAAGTTATTTGGGAATTTTCACACCTCATTTAGAGACTTGAGAGCATATTTTAGTCAAGAAAACATTCAACAAAAAGAACCACCTGAAGGCAGTTCTCTCAAAATAGTCTCTTTCTAATGCTGTATTATGCACTTACTCTTTAAAACTGAATTCTACATGGTAATTTAAAACGTACTGCACTCATTCCTGCTGACTAGTAGAGCTCAAATGTTATCTTCATTATTCTCTTCCTCTTGTGCATGTGAAAAACCACCTATGAAGGTAGTCTGGATACAAAGCCCCATGAATATTTACTATGCACACTTAAATACAGACATTTGGGATGGGCAAACAGGCTAAGACCAACAACTAGACAAAAATATTTGTATTTCTCCTGGGAACTTAAGCTACACTCACTGCATCCAAGGATAGCTTTTCTTTTCAACACATAATTGCAGAAATCTGCTGGAGCTGACTTGAGTTAGTGGCTTGTGTTAAGGCCAAAAAGGTTGAGATTGACAAGATGTCAGGAATTCGGGGTTGACTACTTTTGGATGCATCTTGGAGATAGCATTGAAATCCCAAATGCTTGTAAGCTTTACAGACTAAAAATTTTTCAAAGAGTGATACCAAATGAGTATCAACCAAACTGCACAAAATCTAAGTCTACAAAAAAGGGTACTTTACTCAATATATAACCAAATAATGTTAAAAGCTTTTAAACATATTAACAATGACCACAACATATATAGTATTTCATATTCAAAATGTTTTTAAAATAATAGACAAAAGGGATGATTATCGGGAATTGTTATGATTCATTGTCAATGGTCAACCAAACTGATTGGAGAAATCAGTTGAGACACTGGTAGGAGAGGATGGGACTACTGCCGATTGTTTTTTTATCATTTAAATCTATTAACTCCTAAAATTTTCATGGAAGTAGAAACTCAAACCAGCCCTAACAACATCTGGGACAGTACCTAATAAAGTTATAAATACAGGTCCACTTTCTGGTCCAAATCACATGTGATGCTTTTACACAAACAGAAAGGCTTCAGCCAAACACTTCAAAAGCACCACACCTCTAATGCCCTATGTTCCAGTCCCCTCACAGGTCATCAGCTGGGATGAAAACTTCGCTGCTAATCAGGAAGGAGAGGATCTGAACTCTTAAGCCTGGGGAAATACTGTAACCACAGACTGCTGCAATCAGCACCACAACCACTTGGACGTTTGGATTTTTGAAATATATTGCAAATGACTTTTAAATTTAGGAAAAAATAAAATGTGCTCTCAAACTTTTTTTTTTAAATCCATAAATTGCAAGTGTTTTCTTTTCAGCTTAAAATTAATATTAACAGCACATGTAGCATTGGAACATACTCCCTCACATGTGCAGCCTCCTCACTCCGCTGTAGCATAAAAGGCACAAATATCCCATTTAGGCCAGCTCTGCCTTAACAGGGTAAGGAACTTGCGCTGGAATGGATAAACCATACAAAGATTTTTTTTTAAACAAATAAAGGTTGTACCTCTTCAGTACTTTAAGAACTTAACCTTTCTCTAAAGCTCATTTCTACATTTTTTTTCTGTACCACAGTAACAGCAGGTATCAGTACTCATTTCCTTGCAGAGATTATTGCCTACTGACAGAATGAGCAGAAATCTTGACACTGTTACAAGTACTGTGAGGCAAGATATTTGCTAGTCACTGTAAGAAACACACTAGAGAATTAAGTGAAATATGCCTGCTAACAGAGTCAAAAGGAATCAAAAATGGTAGTTGCTTTAAGCTTAAAAAATACATTACAACATAGCAAAAAGTAACTGAACCAAATGCTTATAATTACAATGATAACACTAGTATTACCACCAGCAGGGAATTTGGAGTGCCTGTGAGAAGATGTGAATAGCAAGTTTGATGTCTCATTCTTTCTTAGAGAGGTCAGGCATTTTGAAGCAGCACGGACAGAAGCCTGGGCGTTCACCTAGCACTTTCTGGTGGCGCTAACCGCACATATCCACTCGCAGCGGGCGCCACGGCTGTGCGAGCTGCGCGACGCTGCACAAGGACTTGATGCAGCTGTGCTCCTCGAGCAGCATCATTTGCAGGCAAGAAGGGCTGCACCTGCCACCAGCAGCCACGGAGGCTCCTGCAAAAACCTGCTCACTCCTGTCCTCGCAGCAGGGTGACTGCTGCACACAGGGGTTGCTCCTTCTCTTCCCATGTGTCTCTTCTGACACTTGCCAGCACAGCACTTAGTCCAGCGGCAGCTCTGCAGGCGTCGCAAGTGCAAACCCACATGAAAAATGAGCCAAGCTTTTCTACATGAGCCCAGTTTCTATCCTCCTAAAGAGCTGAAAGGCAACAAGTGAATACAAACAGGAGGAAGAATAAAGGATAACTGACACTGTTATTGTAGGTTAAATGGACTGTCACAAACACCTCGTTATTAAGGATTTGAGTATAGAGGCAGTAACTCAGGTTAAGCTAAAAACCCTCACATTATAGGATGACACACAATTGTTTGCAAAGTTTGACAAATAGTAAGCATATCTTCATAACAGAAACAAACAAATTAGCTGACGTATCCCTACTACTTGTCACACAATGAAGTTATAAGAAACAACAACTGACAAAAGCTTTCATATATTAATGAAGAAACATATTGTCCAGCAGAAAGCAGGTAAAGACAAAGATGTTTGTCAAAAGAGAGAATATCTTTCTGGCAGGCAGAACCTAAATAGGGTTTTAAATAGTCTTTCTAAATCTCTACTTCTTCATGCTCATATATTCTAGACTCTAACTCATTTTACTTAACAGCATATTTCCTTTTTCACTCATAATTTATAAAATGTCATTTACTGAATATCACATATCCTTGCATTTTCTGCCAATAAAACAATTTTAGGTGGAACCAAAATCAACATTTCTTCAAAAATTAGAGTTATTTCATAACAAGTAGTAAAACTGAAGGAATAAAACAAGTTGGCTTTGAAAGCTACACTCTAACTCCAACCTCATCCCGAGAGAAACATACTTGCCCATGTAGGTATATACCTTTATTTGTGAATATAGACTATAACAGAATACAAAGCTGTGAAATTAATTATTTTCAGGACCAAGCTAGCCTGTTTCAGTTATAAAGTTAGGCTACAGCCAGAACTTAGCAGTAACTTTATTTATTACACTAATATCCTGTATCTGTTTCCCTTGGACAGCAGTGTGTGCATAACTTCTTAGCACTTGTGATTATTTATCTCCTTTCAAGTACGTTCATTAAACTGACTTTCCTTTTGGAAAAGATCATTGCATGCAGCATATCTCCTTATAGGTATTTTAATACGGGCCCAATCATTAAGACTACCATTTCTAACAACATTTATTGCAATGATGAGGACCTTCACCTGAACACCTAATACTTAGCTTTATACACATAATACAGTGCCCCTCCTCCTGCAAGCTACCATCACACATACACCAATAAAGTGTTAGACTAAAGCATGTGCAGGCAATTTTCAATGATATTTATATCCTTGATAATTTGGTTTCCTGAACTTTAAAGCATTAGTTTAGTTCAGTTCCTGTTTCAGCTGAAAAAGCTCTGATATTATTTTGCAAAGGCTGTGATAGAAAACACGTGTTAAAGAAATAACTAGTCCAGGTTTATAAAGCACAGTGCTGAAAATCATTGGTGCACAAGCAGTTTTCCACAAATTTTATTTCCTGGTGGTCCCTTTGCTGAGCTAAAGCAGGGAACTGGACTACTAATCAAACTCCCATCTTGCTGTTTAGTCAACCAAGTACCCAAACTTTCTCAGAGACCCAACTCCACATATTCATAAACAAAAAAGATTTACCTAGAAACATGGAAGACATTACTATGACAGTGAACATAAGCACAACACTTCTGTGGTTGAAACAGGGCTCGCTCTAGCTTTTTTTAATCTTTCTTAAAATGATATTTCCTATAGACTATGTCAGAATGAGGCTTAGTAAACATATAGTATAGATATATAATGAATTCATAGTACCATTGTGGCCTATGAACTAGCTCTTCTTCACTGAATTAACCTTCAGAGATGAAAACATTTTCCTCTCCACACTGTAAAATTCTTGGCAGAGCAGGCTATCCAATTATCTCACCTACATGATAAAATAAGGCTTCTGCTTGCTTATTCTATGGAGACAATCTATTTTTTATTTCCAAACCTCAAAATATTTTGTTATGACATTTCCTTCCCTGAAAGGAATCATTTTATGGAGTTCCTGTTCCATTCCCATAAAATTTGTCATCTGGCCACTGCATGGAACTCAGCTTAAGAAGGCAAATGGACCGAAAAGAGATGACTTCTCTATTGCAGAGTGAATCCATTGTTACGTAAGTAAATATTATATAAGTAAATACTTGGCAGACAGACCAGAAAGTCTTACACTTCAAACACAATCAACATGGAATTCTACTCTTCTTCACATTATAGGAGCCTTTCAATTTACAGTTGCTCAATTTTTATCAAGTTTGACCTTCAAGTGGAAATAGAAATAATGCCTCTTGTTCATTTGCTCAGAATAAATTATTATCACAATCAAAAAATTGCATAACAAATACACAAATTATGAGCTTAGATAGGACTAATTTATGCTTCCAACTAAGTGCTCTATACTTACAAAACTTCTCAGGGAGGACATGTACTTCAGTGACTGCATCAGAACGTGGATATGATTCCTTGCTGAAAAAAAACCCCCTCACATTACTTAACTAACTTCTGTGGAATATTTCTTTAACACAATCAAACAAAACAAGTCAAGACAAACCATAGTACCATTTAGAAAAACCTTTTGAGAAGTGAGATAGGGAGCAATATTCAGCAGCAGTATTTACCTGTCAGCATTTAGATCTGGTTTTTGAAGTATCATCTTCAGATATTCTCTTCTTGCATGATTATTTGCTTTATCCACATAAATCACTGCAAAACAAATTGGAATTAATATAGTTAGCTATAAATTGTTTTCAATCCTTGAGAAAACAAGAGTATTGGGGAAAAAAGGTCTTTTTCCCTTATCTTTCCTAAGAAAAAGGAACAATGCTGAAATCAAATTTGAAAGGGCACATGATCTAATGCCATGTCACTGGCAGGTTTATGCACACACTGCCAAAGAAGATACAAGCTGCATCTAAGCATGCCATATAGTTGTCATTTTCTCTTAATGGCAATAGCAGTCACAATTTTAAAAGCCAGTGGTCTTTATCGCTTTGTATTTGAAAGGATTTACTGCATTTTCTTCCACCCAGGAAGCTAGTGATAATGATAATGTATGGCAGAGTGCTTGTCCTTTTTGACAGCCTCAGTAATTTAATCCTCCTTTCCTGCCACAATATTCAATAAGAGGAGCATTTAGACCAATGGACTGGAGAAAATCCACAGCCTAGGGAACGCGTATGAGTACTCAAAGCCTTTTGTTGTTCTAATTTAAAATACAAACCCCAGAATCAGCTTTTAATTCTTTGTACCATTAGTAAAACCCACAGTGAAAAACAGCTTGGATTGGAACAACATTATTAGAAACAGTAACAGGGTTTTAGGAAAGTCCATAACTAGTTTTTGAGCATCTTGGGTTAAGAAAGCAGCTTCTTTCTTACAAAATATACATGGGCTACCAGTATCAGAACTTTAACTACTGATAGATTGCAGGAAACGCAGGATGTGCAAATTACTACAAATGGATTTTCCTTTTTTAAACTGAGAAAATTTAGCTGAAAAAATGTAGAGAGAACTGCAATGAAGATGACCCTCTGAAAAATAAACACATGCATTAGTTTTTGGGGGAGAGTCTTCATTTGTTTTCAAGGGCAGGAAGAGCATCAGAAGGCTTCTCCAAGTTCCAGCATCTCTAATATTGAAATACTTCTGTCCTCTCTATATACTCTATCCCTCTCCATTTCCTTCCCATTTTCCTAAACATTGGTGGACCCATTGTCACATGGCATAGTCATTCTACTATCCAACTTAAATTTACTTGTATAAACAGAAATTGCACAAATTACAGGAAATCCACCAAAGAATATAGGCGTACAAAAGAGAAACAAGACACAGAATCAGTATTAAAAGTTATTTTCAGGTAATAGTCAATTGTTATCAGAATCCTTCCATCAATGGAATAAGCAATTTAACATATTCCTTACAGAAAAGGAGGGACTGGGTTTTACCTTGGGTTTTATCTTTCTGTTACTTCTCTAGATTAAAAGTAGTTGTTACTTCCATCTGCTCTTCTTTTGGGCATGTGGATGACTTTGCACATGTGCTGCTCTCATGGCCCAACACTCCTGGGGCCACCACAGGAAAGAACAGGGAGGCAGCAGGGAGACAGATGGACAGCAACAAACTTCAAAGGAGCTGCCACATCGACACATTCTTCCCTTCCCCATAAGCATCCCAACTGAAACTCACTGAATTTACAAATCTTGTATCTAGAATGATGTTAAATCAAAGTCTACTGACAAAATCTGGTGTTTGGGAAGCTCTCCTTTTGAGAGCCAAGTTGTGGCACTGCAAGGCTTAGATTTTCTTAGATATTCTGCTGGCTTTTACAACACCTTGAGCACAGCAGCTCCTTTTCTCAGTCATTATGGCCAGCAATAGATAAAACAGTAAATGTGAAGGGAAACTGGGAGTGATGCAGTGCAACCTAGTGTGTACTTTGTATACGACTTTCCATCCCAAGATCTGGGAGAAAGAAAATCTTGTCACTATCCATAATCACAGCAATGATCAAAATAAACAACTCAGGGGAGGTTATATCTCTATTTGTGAAAAGGGAAATTCACAAGATGTTTTATGTCCAGATCAACAGAGATCTAATATATTCTAATATACTGCTTTCCAAAACGTTTGCACTAGAATAATTATCTTGGAATTTTGTGTTTAAAATAAAGGCAAAGATCATGCAAATGAAGGGAGCTCCCATAGCTAAGCTGATACATGTTTAAAACAGCCATGGTGATCGTTATAAATAAAAGTTTTATTTACAACTTTTTTTAGATTGCCTATGGATTTACCATGTTATTTCTATGCAAAATCTAGAAACCTATTAATTTCCCTCTAAGCTCAAAGTACATTTCTTTTCCCCATCCCAATCTCATTTTTATTAAGGAATATTTTCAATTAACCTCTAATATTCAACATTCCCACCTAATTAGGTATGAATATGAGGTGTAGTAAAGCTATAGTAAACACAGGCACAGATTTCATTACTATTAGCTTTCTCAGTGACATTATCGAACAGCAGACTGATTACGAGTTTTTCCTTACATGCAAAGCTAATCTTAAGTAGAAATCTTATGACCAATTATCCAAGTAAAACTCTGCAAATAGCCTCATTAGAAATACGCTGTGGAATGTAATCCTAGAGCAATTGCAACCAACCCCCCCCCTTTTTCTTTTTTTTAATTGATTCATTAGGGTATTTTAAACTTAAAATCACTCCATGCTCAGACAGGAAATGGAAAAATGAAAGTTATGAAGCCAGGCTTCAACTAACAGAAATAATGATATCATATGCCATCTCCAGGAGCATTACACATGACAATCTGTACTAATCTGATCCAGTTTTAAAGCATTACATTTTGATATGCTTAAGTTTCATCATTGTCCTTAGTTGCAGGAATTTCACCATATTGCTGCCTCTTGTCAATTCTCACTGTACTTGCCCTAACTTTGTTACCTTTTGCTAATGTAGCTTTACAGAACTTCAAGATATGATACTTGGATCATATCCCATGTGCAACAGAATCATAAGGTGCAAGGACGTATTATTATATTTTCTGAGTGCTTCTTATACCTTAGACTAATTCTAGATAAAGTAGTTAAAAAAATCAAGAAGCAAAAGAAAATGAGAAGTGTAAAACCTGCTTTCCTGGGTTCATGGTGTTAATTCAGTGAGATTTTAAAAATCTGATTTCAAAAAGTGTCTAACATGTGCAAAATATGTTTTCAGTAACTACCAAGATGACTAATTCCTATTCAATATATACAAATAAGCATTTGTTGTATATATATATCTGACATCTCAGTTAGGATATGCTGCCAGAAATTCCCCTTGTTGAAATGGCAGCAAGACTCAGTGAACAAAACCCCTATTTGAGGAGATATTAGTTATTTTCTTGCTAAAATCTTACCAGAATTACTGTCTTTCACAAAGTAACAGGAACTAAAAACTTTGTGCCGTGTCCCTTCAAATATTCTCTCTCAATATATTCTCTCTCCAAAGAGACACCCCAATACACGGTCGAGGTGTTTGATGTGATGTTTGCAGGGAATATCAAACTTCAGTAAGGTGCAATTCAATACTTTATGAGTGTTAGGAGGACATAAAAGTGTTCAAGTAATAAATTTATTTCTCTTTCTCTCCATTTTATCTCAAGTCTCCTTTTAAGATGAGAATTATAGATAGGTACAATTTAGAGAGTTACGCAAACAAATTCTGAACTTTACAAAAGCCGGTTTTATAAAATGATTATCAAAAGAATGCTTAATTGGACTGTCGGTAGCTGTTGTGTGCCACGTATCTAGCAAACTAACTCACTTGCAGCAGAAGTGCAACACAACATGAAGCAATCAGGATGCATCTTAAACGCAAGCAGACATTCACAGCACAAGTTAAGAACTGAAATATTAAGTAATAGCCGGAAAAAATAACAAGAGCATTAACAGCTGTTATAACAATAGTTCTGGGGATCCTACTGGTGTAAATTATCTTGCACTAATTGTGAAGTGTATTACCTACCTCCAACTGTTCATTTAAAGAAAAGCATATAGAACATTCAGGGTTAAGTACTGTGAAGTAGTAAAACGTGTCCAACTGGTAAATACAATAGGAACTTTTAAAACCCTCATCATAACCTAGAGAGAGTAGATTTTCGTATTTTTTTTTTTTTCATAAAATTGAGTTTAAAAGAAGAAAAAAAGCCTGATCAGAAGAGCTGATGCTTACCTTTACTGTAATTATAGTGAACCCAGTGACCACGTGTTGGTTTTGGGAGTGACACCGGAGTCTCCTCTGCAAGGAAATTGTATAATCTGCATTCTACGAACAGCTGCTGTATCGTGTCATCCACTGCAATCCGTGAGTCCGTAAAGCAAAGCGAGATAATTTCAATCCGGATTTTTTCACCTGCCTATTTAAAAACACAATGCAAACACAATTAAAAAATATTTTGTTTTTCTTGTAGTGTTAAACATCAACTCACAGAGTACTTAAGTGTATAAAACAAGCCTGTATTTGTACAAAACTCAATTTAAAACTCAAAACTTTTCTAGTTAAATGAAATGCACACTTAAAAGGTAAAATTAGAACAGCATTATAAAAGGAATATCCCAGCTTGTCCTCTCTAGGGCCTTTTCTTAACATCTTTAAGACAACATTTTCATAGCATGCAGCAATGCCTTTTTGCTTACAAATAAATTTTACTAAGTTTTATTTCATTTGGGAAGGTGAAATTTGACAGATGAAGCCACAAATACTTTCCCGTGCAACTCATTCAAGGAAATGAATACTAGTGGAATACCTAGTTCATCATTCAATGTTTAGACTTTTCTTCACAGAGGAAACAATGCTTCTTACCATATATAAGCCTTTCCTTCTCTTTTCCAGTTCATAAATTTATTAAAGTTATTTCCCCTATATGGAAATATTTTGACAATTTCTGATTGTAAAATCAAATCATTTTAAGTAATAAATAACTTCAAACATGAGCTCTCTAGATTCAGTGTTCGAACTGCAAATCAATATTCTAATTTATTACAGAATTTGCTTACGCTTTTCCAAGCTTATTAGATAATTAATCAAACTGAAAAGCAGGTGTAGCCGATTGTAAAAATATCCTTCACATGGAACAATTTCCATTGCTGTCAAGCCCTTTCAATATTTGATGAAGTAATTTTACACCCTCCTTTCAGAAGACATTTCCTTTTATTATGTATCCTAAGACACTTTAACTAAAAACCCAAATCTGAATATTTCAATAAGGTTGTTTTATTATTCAGTAGATTCATGGAAATTTTACCAGGATGACAGAGGAAATTCCATACCATTCTGTCTCCACTAATACAGGTACACGGCTTCAGCTGGCAATATTACTAGGATTAGCATAGTATGATGAAATATTTAAAGGAATTTTTTTTTCTAAAATCTAATAAATCAAATGACTGCCAAATGTCATTAAAGTGATGGTCTTTGACTTGAATATGCTTTTCATATTCAAATTTGAAAAGAAAGAGATGAAAGCCTGGAAAGGTTACTCAGTTTCAACTAATAACCTCAAGCACTCTACATTCACATGCATAAAAAATGAAATTGGCTCTATTGTCTAATTTTACTTCAGAAACAACTCTTTTCTTTTTGCACTCAACAGATGTATTAGCATCTGTATTTAAAGTGATAAGCTAAGAGGCTTTGTTCCCCCCAAGTATTTAGCAGTTATGTCAGATTAGTTTGTACACAGACAGTAGTTTATAAATCAAGTCCTAATATAATATCCTGCATTATAAAGTAGTTGTTTTACATAACTTAAAATTTGACATATTTAACACTTGTAATTGCATCCTGTAGGAAAAGAGCATTATAGCTTTTCCAAAAAAAGAGTAGATTCAAGCTATTGATCTTATCCTGCTTGCTAGCTTACAAGAAAACAAATGAGTCCTAAGTACTATAAAATTATAAAAAAATTACTTTAGAGATAAGCACACAAGAATATTTAAAGGTCTATTTTTATTAAATATGAATACACTATATACAAAGCAGAACAAGCTGTTTTTTAAAAATATTATATTTGCAAATTAAAACACGCAACTTACGAATAGGGACAGTTGCCATGTCATAATTCACTGCTAACATAAAAATTCCATATTATAAAGCCATGCAGAAAATACATGCAGTATCCAAAAAAATGATAGGAATTAAGTTTTAAATAACCATTTGTCCTTTTATACTGCAGAGTGGACTTTATTTTTTATTTTCCTAAGTTTCTTTTTTAAACCCTTTCCCTATTTACTAGCTACTATTCAAGTGAAAAATGGAGAGTTTGTAATGATCAAATACTTCATTCGGGTCCTTTTATTTTGATGTGAGTTCAATTATTCTTCCAAGCAAAATTTTAAGAAATCATTTGGTTCATTCTATAGTTCATTGCATTACTGGTAGAACATAAGCTACCATGTCTACGATGAAGGAGACTTCCTGAAATGCTTTTTTCTTATTAGTATTTTTTAACTTCCATTAATCATCTCATGTTCCTTTTAATCTTTAAGTATTTTGGTAATGCTTAGATATTGCTTTTTGGTACAATAATCTGTCAGCAATTTACAACCTTCATCAGCTAATGTATATACCAAAATTCCTTTACGTTCCCTTAAATATTGATTAGATGTACATAACAGAACAAAGGGGACTGAAAACTTAAATGGGTATCTCTGAGAAATGGGTTCAGGCCTTTTAGTTTTGAAGGAAGAAAACAAAACAGGGGACAGATTCTGTCTATGGCAATATTCTTACTTTCTCTATCACTATTTTGATAATGACTCTTGCTAATACTAGGCAAAACCTTGGAAGAATCAGCTATCTTTACAGTCTTGCATTAATAGTTCTTTCACTATCCAAAGACTTCATGCCTTTGCCCATCCAAATACACAGAACTACAAATGGTCTCCCCCAAGCAGGCTACATCAGAAGCATAAATACACAAAAAACCTCATTGGCAAGGTTCAAAATAGCTCTAGTTGAAAATTTTATATAGGCTTACTCGGTCTTAAGTTTTTCTCCATAACTGAATATTTTCAATGTTATCTAATAGATGAGAGGCTACCTAAGAGCATCTGATGTTCTGTATTTTCCACCAACAATGTTAGAAACGCACTTGAAATGAAAACCAAGAAATTAAGACCGCTGAGCACAGCGCTCAAAGGATGGATCAAAAGTAAAGAGATAAACACTTACTTTTAGGAGACAAGTGAAAAGTATTAAACGTACCATTTCAGTATACTATCTGTTTAAATTAAGTCTATCTCAAGCCTTATCAGAATAAATGACTGGGAAGAATGAAAAAAAGCAACTCAGGTTTTGCCTAGAGTCTTCAAGCTTCCTTCATTTCTCTCACTTGGGCTTTTGTCTGCTATTGACCTTAGTAACCCATAAACTTCAAGATCTCATTCTTTTGATGAATGAAAATAATATCTCATAGGATGAATATCAACTAATTGTGCAAAAAAAGCATAATGAAAATGAAATTATAGAGTAAAATAATAGATATGTTCATACTTTACATCTTCCCAACCTGTCACAAAGATGTTTTGTTCAAAAGCAGAATTACAAGCAATTGGCATTACTTAATGGTATTTAAGAGAGTTTAACGTCAAAATTAATTATATCATGAGATCTTAATTTACTTGAACTGGTAATGATGGTATTCAATAAACTGCTAAGTGTACAACACTTGTTGTACATGCAGTGAAGAAGAGATGCAAACATACCTAAAGAAAAATGGGACCACCACGGAATAAATTGCTTTTGCCAGTAATTGCCTTATGGGCACATTTTAAAACAACTTGCAAGCTGACAGCGGTAAATTTTATAGTGATAATTGAATGCCATACTATCTTCTATAAGGATAAAGTGTAGACACGGGGGTGAAAGGGAGGAGGGATAGAAAAGACAATTTTTTTTTTTTTTATAAAGACCATGCCAAAGGAAATGCAAATTCCCAGTTTTGATGTCTATTTTGAGAAACTGAAACAAGGCTTTTAATCAATGTATTATACATCAAATTGATAATGTTAACTTCTGATTATTCAAATGTATGAAATATTCATAGAGAACTGTCCAAACTTTTACATTTCTCAGACTTCTTTTCTCTATTAATTATCATGCCTGGAAGCTTTTTAGTAAAAGCAGCAGCCATCAGCCTGACTGAACCTGACAAGCTAGCAAGGCCCAATTACACTGGCACTCTGTGGCACTTTGATGTACTGGAAACGAAAAGAGATAGGGGCAAATTGTATAGCACATTATGTTAATGACTTGATTTAATCCAGCCACTAAACTTTATGTAGCCTGTTAAAAAAGATGCTAACACTAATTACGCCACTTTGGAAAGGAAAGAAGGGGACAAGCATTTCATACCGACAAAGTGAAGCTCATAAATGTTGTAAATGAAATGAAACAAAATGAAGTAATCTATGATTAATTATACATCATAGACAAGAAGAAAAGAGAAAGAAGCAAGTGGTACAGCTAAGTACTGGAAAATCTGTTAGATTCCTTTTATGATCAACATATCTAAGAAATAACCATGAACTGTCTAATTTGCAACATGCAAAAGAGAAACAGTACGATCTTAAATGGCTTAAGCAGTTTGGCACCCAGCTCGGATTTATAGGATAATTACCATAACAATCTCTAAAAAATCACAAGCCGTATTTACAGTGTTTGATTACTTGCAGGATATTCATCTCAGAAGATAAAAGGCACTGATATTCCATCTTAAACAACAACAAATTCAATCTCAATTTTCACAAGCTGTATTCTTTAAATTACCATAGTTTTCCAATACAACAATGCCTCATTTTAAAACCAAATTTGTATCAAATTTGTTGCCTTAATAGTTCATAGATTTTACTGTCTTGTGTTTTGCTACCTACCTTTCTCCAACACACTCTTTACTACTAAATGAAGGAAGCAAAAGTACGTCTTAATGAATCATAAATAAACCTACACTCACAATTCTTTCAGACATCAGCTGAAAGAACTTTTATCTAATTAAATCCAAGATAACTATAAATGTATATATTAACTGTATTATTGATTGGTTTAACCCTGAGAAGTTAGTCATTTTAGTTCACCATGTTAGAGTTAGTAGCTTTCAAAATATTTCACATATAACAAGGCAATTTCCTCTTTCAAAATACCTTCTATATCAATCTTGAACCTGCATAAGGGATAGTATTGTTAAATTCCTGCTAGAGTTCATCAAGAAAGCAGCATTATTTCTCATATGAAACATCACTTATTATTACTAGTTACTGTGTAAGATGTCACACAGACTTACTTGCATCAAGAACACTAGAACCAAATTCTTCCAGGTTATTGCACATCAGACTATCAACAAAATTTAATGCCAGTAGGATATAACCATATGATACAACTGCTCCTTAAAGTTATTGGGGAGAAATATCAAGCTTAAGGATATTAGGCTTAAAATAATTCTCACATTTGCCAAATACTTAATTGTCAAAAATACCTGTTTAATAGTCCTGGAAACTGGACTCGAAACAATACAATCATCACTGTCTGTTATTATTGATTCAATGGCATCATTTGTTCTTCTGTCATCTTGATCTGGTAAAAAAATAAGCATTTGTTGAAAAATCTGATAGGAATATATTGGCTTTTTTAACAAATGTAAAGCATCAGTGTCAGATGGACCTTCTTTTCCATGCAGATGATAACATTGGGACATCAGTGACCTTTAAAAAATTCTGAAGAATCTTTTTCTTGGTTTTCTAAAAACACTAGTACTTTCAAATGGCAGTGGTAAATGCAATGATTAAGTCTCAGATGAACTGCAGTACCAACATTGATCAGCTTTAGGTAACAGTATGGATTGAAATTGTGGATTTCCTCCAGTTTGGACACTATGTCCATATAAAGAAAACAGTATTCTTGTTTTAAATAAGTTGTTCTTCATGCAGATGGACTGCATGAAGAAGCATTTGGGTTTCTGCTTTCTGGACTAAAGCTACTTACAAACACAACAGGGAGCCAATAGCATGTCTTTCAAGTTGTACTAATGAAGTATTACTGTGCAGAAGTTGCAAAACAACTAAATGCAAAATTCTCTGTGCCTTTTGTTTTGCTAGTGTTATCAAAGACTCTGTTTATTTCCATGATACCAAGTTTAAATTTAGAGGTAAAATCGGACAACTTGGCTTTTATAACCTTTAGGTAAATCTGTTTTTAACAACTTTGTCACATATATATGATAGGATATACTATCCTCTCTGTGTGAAAGGATCTCTGATACCAAGATTGGCTGTTATCTGCAGACAATAGGAGAATACTCATTAAAATAGTCTTTATAACAGCCCAGTTCTAAGAGAGAATATAAAGATATTTAAAACACAAGTCGAGTTTCCTTTAATATTTCATGAATCTAGGTCAGATACCAGATTTTTGCATTCAATTACAATGCAGTTTGAATTTGGGCTGGAAATAAAACCTATATACCCACCACCTACTTCAGCTATAAAGTACATTAGAATATCATTTCTGTCAGGAAGCTTCTCATAATGAGGCAGCTCCCACTGCTAGGAAGAAATGCTTAAAAATGAAAAAAGATATAGATTTATTAAGGAAATATAGGTGCTTGTGCATATAAATGAGTTCTACCTTCTGGCTCCAATTCTTCAGTTATTTCTGTTTCATCTCCAGAGGTGGCTGAGTTTTCGTCAGCCAGCTGTCCCTCAGACAGATGCGAAAAGTCTTCGTTTTCCTGTTGAATTTCCTCAGCAGTCTCCTTCACCTTATCACCAGCCGGGGTTTCTTGTTTAACCTAATGCAAAACCAAGACAGAAAAACTTAGTCTTTATAACACTCCTTAAAACTGAAATTATGGCTCGTGTTCATTATATATACACACACTCTTTTACACAGTTACGTGGTTAATGCAGTGTGGCAGGTTATGAGACTGATCAGTTTTAAACCACAGTAACAAGTAATTGACACAGTAAGACAACAACTATTTAACAACACACATTTGCTAAAATACAACTTCTCTCACTATTCAGTACTTGTCATCACACACAGAGGCTCTTAGATTTCCAAACACGTATCTGTATTTCAGCTCTACCAGTTCTAAAATCATCTCTTTCCAAAAAAGTCATCCTCAATTACTAATTTTATAAATTAGTTGATATAATACTTGGTTTCCAAAGTAAATTAAAATGACATAAAAAACAAACAGCTTTGCAGTTATATTATGAACACTACAAGCATGTCATGTAAAGTAAAAAAACTTCTGTGCATAATTTCTTTCGAAGTAAATTCACCTTCTTTCCCTTGAAGTATTTATTACACCACCTTATCAGCAGATACAACCTAAGAGACACAGCATCTCCCACGGAAATTTGCTGGAAAATCATGTACAACCTATTATTAGACAATTCTCTAGGACTTAATTTTCCAGAGTTGGGAACACCAATTCAAATACACTCTACAAAAGCCACAAACTTTGAATAAACTCATATCATACCACTGAAACACTTGTAGCTGTTGAAGTCTTTATCTTCTGTGCAAGTTCCTTGTGATTTTCAACAGCAACAGAGCTCTGTTATAGGTAAAATAAGAAAAAATCCTTATTATTACTTAACACCTTTATTAGCATATCTTTTATTATATATTTATAATTATTTCTAATTTTCTTGCATGGGCACTTCTGCAATGCAAATAGAAAATTTACATTTCAGAGAAACCCCAGCTATTTCATTATTTGTAGTAACACTTTTTTGGCTGTAATCAGACAGTGAGGCTTGGATTTTTAAAGCAGCAAAGGGTGGTACTGCCTAGCACTGAATGATTTCCAATAAAGACAAAATAGCTAATCCTCTCCCTTTGAAAAACATAACTTTATGAAAACATTTTAAGTTTTAAGAGTCTGCTGTACAGATAGCTAAAGAGAAGAGGTGCTATGCATGTGAATACATCGCTAACATGGTGGATGGGAAACCATTCTTACAAAGTCAGACAGATATCCATGTTGTGCTCTCCCAATGCTATCAGTCATTGCCTGGGAGATCCCAATCTGTTGTTGCTTAAATAACAGAGCATTCACTAACAGTCTTCAAGATTGCCCACAGTGTGGCATAAACAGTCATACTTGCTTCAATAGGTATAAGCAAAGCAGTTAGAACTTACTGTCCTGTGTAATGAGCCACCATCCAGAAAAGATACTTTTTTGTCTGCTTGAGCTATACGCTGCCTTGGTTTAGGTGTTGGTTTCTATAAAATAGAAATAGTGTTGAAAACTATTCTTACTCCTATATTCTAATCACCTTATTTTGCTGTGATTCTTAAGGTCCCTGATTTTTTTGTAAGGAAAACATCATTATACTTAACTTGGAAATCACCAATTCTACACAGGTAAGACTAGGTAGATTTTGTTTGAACCTGCACCCATGCAAAGTTTGGGGATACCTTTCAGAATGAGTGTAACAGTCCACAGCATCCACAGGATGCAATGAGAGTTCTAGGTTAAAAAAATAACAGGTATCTAGCAAAATAACATATTACTGTTATTTATAGAATGTTTAATTCTTTTTTCTTGTTCTGTAAAATTAACATATATTTGACACTCCCCCTCATCCTTTTGGAAAATGCTGATATAGAATCAGTAAGTAACTAATAAGAGTTGCAAAATGAACAAAATGGCCTATAAAGTTTTCTATCTTGGTATTACAATATCAAAGATAGAAAATAAACAGGCAGTGGCTTATTGCTTTTTAAGTTTTACTCTCATGAAGGTCAAAATTCTCTTTCATGTCCATTGATTCTTATGCACAGGATTTTCCTTTTTCTACTAATTTATGAGTCTCTTTATGAGTAACTTTAAGGAGGTAACTTTTATATCTCAGTCCCATGTCCCAGGCAACAAAACAACAAGGAGATGCAGACACATGTAAGCATCTACACAGGGCTTGGAAGTAGCAGCCTGAGAATTCCTTTGGCTCAAAGTTATCCTACTGACCACATCTGGCTGAATATTTAAGAGACCTCAAAAATAAAAGACAGCCTATCTCTGCTATCCCAAATTTCTACCTCTGGCAAAATTATACAAACATATAACTGCTTGATTTTAAAGAGCAATAAAAACAGAATTAATAAACATCAATTTCATACGGAAAACAGTGTTCATTATGTCTCTTCTTCTCCATCACTCTTTTACTACCATTGCACAAGTCCTCTGAGGTTATGGACACAGAAATAACATGACTTCCAAAAGGAATTTCAAGATGGTCATTATATGAACTATTTGTACTAAGCATTATTTCACAGTAAGGACACATTCTAGGCATCATGGAAGAAATGATCTAACAGGTCTTTTATATCTCTTAGTGTTTCTGAGTTGGTTAAATTACTTACTGTCATTGATGTAGTAAAAGAAGGAGTCAGGGCTGGAGCCTGCACTTCCTTCTCTTCTACTAATTTAGTTGCCATTGATTTCTCATTTTGAATGTAATTTTCTAAGTCTGCAGCCATGGCCAACCCACTTGGCAGTAAATAGGCAAACTTCCACTTTAACTCCACTTGGATAGTACCAGCAGCACATTTTGCAGAATCTTTCAGTTCAAAAGTACCTGAAAACAAAAGGGAAATCTTATCTAAATACTCTATTTTAGAAATACATATTAAAATGCAATACAAATCAGAATGCGAATCAGGCATGAAATCACTTAATAGCTGTAATTTTAAAAGACAAATAATGTCAAAACATTACCACCTTTGGTGGTTCCAAATATCACAGAGGAGATAAAGACAGTTAAGAGGTATAAATTACTATTGCTATGTTCTTTCAACATATCCTGTTGATTTCTTGGGCAATCCAATACCATACAATAGATCTAACATAATTCAACATCTATCTTAAGCAAAACATTTTCTTTTTAGTAACTATTACACTTGTTAAAGAAACTTAAAAGGGTTTTACCTATCTGAAAGTTACTAAATCTTTACTAGAGAAGAAACACCTTACATTCCGCTGCACAGCTTGCCCTTTCATACACTTATATATAGTCATTATAGAATCATATTGTTCAACAGAATATATAAATCCTAATTCTGCCATAAATATGATTCTGTCACTCATAGTCGACAAAATTAAACAGTTTTAGTATAAGCACAGTACCAACTGTGCAAAGGATACTCATCTGTGGGGAGCAATCCTTGCACTGATGGCAGGGCTCCTCTTTCTAGAAAAAGGAAAAAGGGGTAGCAACCCTGGAACATCATTAGTCCCACCTTGAGACCAAAAGAAGTTTTCCAAGGTTTTTCTTTCTCTAACATTTGTAGTTGATGCACTATATTCAAGAACCATTTTCAATTCTGTCACACATTTTTCTTTAGTCATGACTTAAGGAACATTATTTATTTTCAGGATTTTACTGGACACTTCTGTCAAATTAAATCCATAAAGGATAGTTAAGGATTTTACTTCGCTCTGGTTCTTAAAGAGATATAGAAACAGGTAATATACCTGCAAAGGTATAGGTAAAGAGTTTGTTAGCCTTAAAGGTCAAATTCTTACCAGAGATACATCTGTCATGTGCCAAAGAAATTAGAGGTACATTGGCTTTTCCCAAATAATCACTTTCTTCAGTTTCAGCATCATCAAAAACGTAACAAGTTAGGGGTTCTGATTTTAGGTATCGGTCTAAATCTACATCCATTGGTACTTGAAAACACATATGGTCATTTATTTGTGGGTTGTTGCTGCTAGGAATGATGGGAGTATCGTGGTCTGCAAAATCAAAGAACTTGTAGACAACATAAGCATTTGGCTGAAGATGTTTTTTCCTGGACTGTAGACTGTTACAACATTTTATTGTAATGTGGAGTTCATTTAAATTGCCATCTGCTGAAGTGCTGACTTGGGCAGTCCCGAGTATCTGCTGCTTTAAATGAAAAAGTAGTAAATTAAAAACATTAGACTTATGTTACCGCACACCAAGAACTATATAAATAGAAAATAACTGATTGCTTAAATGACACTCCAACTTCTGTTTAACTTTTTATATCAGTCTGTTACTTGTTCTATAAATTCAGCTACATCTCTCTCTGGCTACAGGTTTAAAGAAATAAGAGGTTAATTCATTTATTATCTGTGATTATTTGCCTTATTCTCCTAAAACCTTACTGTTCCCTTGGCATTTGATTATCTATAAGTGAAGATCACAGTTTTAAGACTGACATCTTATACCACTTTCAAACTAGACTTTCTGATCTGGACAGCTATGCTGTATCAAGATACAATAACTGCAGTCTTTTATATATGTGCTTTTCTTTAGTTAAAATCACACTGGAAATTAATTTGTTTCAGTATTTTTTCCTTCCCAAACCTTTACATACCCAAATTCTAACATAAAGATCAACAGAAATCAACACATAAATAGTAATAATAAATGTTTAGAGTAGATAGCAAAGGGAATGATTTCAAAAAAATCTTATCAATTACCTATCATTGGCCTGTATGTATTGGGGAATCCTAAGCATACAGGCTATTTTAATAAAAACAGAAGAGTGTCAAGAAAATACAGCTATCTTTATATTGATATCAAAAGCATCTACTTTTGATTATATTATAATACAGATCCTTTCATTCGCTGTATAGAATTATCTTGTCAGTGTTCTAGCAATGTTCTGTCCTGTGCTGAGGAAATGGGTATGAGTGATTCTACATCATTAAATATTTTGATTAAATCAAACAAATACTTATTGAGAAAGAAAAAAAGGGTTTAAAATGAATTACTTTTATTTGCTTCATTATCTGTTGACCTCACGTTTACATTTCAAGCTATTCAGAGCTGAAACATACTCCTTGTAGTAGTCTGCACACAGTTCATGTTTCCATAATTGCTGCAACTACATAGGATAATTTTTTTATATTTCTAACTAGGTAAAGCTTAAATTTTGAAGCACACAACGGAAACTACTTCTCAGATGGCATAGTGTTATCTGAAATTGTGTTATAATTTAAGCTTATATCATGGGGTAATATAGAACACCTAAGTTACTCCAGGCTTACAGTTATTTAGGCTGGAAGATTTAGGACATGATAGAAGGTTTGCAGTACTTCCATTTATACAGTTAAGATCGGTTGCTTTAATTTCCCAAGGTAATTATTCAAGATATCCTGAATTCCCTTCTTTTTTTTCCCCTGTCTGGGACCTTGGTTTAAGCATCATTACATACCGAATTATAGCAACAGAATTTCATCTCCATCTAAAAAAGGGAAAGTGAAATAATACGACCTTCCCACACAAACTTTAACTTTGAGACCTTTCTTAAAAATGACTCAACCTATAACAGTAATCTGACACTGAGTTGGCTTAACATTCCTGTGTATTGTAATAGAGCCAAGTGTTAACAAAATCTGACACTTACAGCTTAAGGAAATTAAATGTATTAATCACATAATTATTTCAAATTTTCAGGCCACAAGGTTATTGACAATTTCAGTAAAAATTAATAACTGGTTTAAGACTTAGTCTCTTTAGCAAAGCCATGATTCAGCTAGTTCTTGAACTCTTTATATGATAAAATTGTCATTCAACTGGTATTTTTCCATTCAAGAAGCTTTAAGCTTCTTAACCTTTGCTATATAAAGAACTGAAGTAAGTTCTTGGAACTGAAAAAGAAGTAATTTTGAACAATGTATTTCATGAAAACTATTAAGGACAAAGACAAACATACCTGCGATGATTGCTCTTGGTCTCTGAAATTGGATGTTAGATACCCCAGAGCTTTTGACCTTTCTTTGTAGAGTCTAATAGCTTGATCCATCGGAACTCGTAACCTGATCCAGTACTCTATGGTACCATAATTTTGGATGTTTCCATTGATTCCTAAGCAAAAAAAAATGCACGTATGATTAATTTCTGTTTCCATGTTGAAGAATTTAACTCAAACACACAAGCTAAGAAGCACAACAAATTCAGTATTAACTGATCTTGTGACAGTGCACCATGACAATTTGAATGGCTTAGTATGTTTAATTTACATCAGAATTAGCAGGAATTTTGCTGGTCCTACTAGGTCTAAAAACACAAGACGAAAATAGTTTCATTTTGTCATCTGCAACATTTACTGTCCACATTATAGAATTAAATAAGGTTCATTATTTTACTCAATATTAAGGAAATTAAAGTTCAGGAACATTTGGTGCACTGAGAGGTGAAAATACCCCCCAGAGTAGCAGACAGTTTTGATTACTAAATTTCCCTTTGAAATGGCTTGTTAAGCCATATCTTTGACACTGAAAAGAATAAGCAGTTACAGGCCTCTAAATGTACCCTGATCTACCTAAGAGGAAATATCATGTTGCATAAACCATTTTTAGTTTCTGAAGTATTAATATATGATTTCAGTATTGCCCAACTGCACCAAATAGACTTTTGATATGTTAGTTACCAACTAAAGTCGCTGAGCTGTAGATCCTGCCGTTGTTTTCCAGGATGTCATGCAGTTTCAGTTGACATGCAGCAGCTGTTTCATAATCTGTGCCATACGCGTGATGAACCTCAACTGTGAGGCTGTTCTGTTGCATATAGTGCAAGAAGCAGTCATCAACTCGCACAAGATACTGAGAAGTGAAGTCAAAGGATGCAATCAACCCACGCACTACTGGGGTTGTCTGAAGTTCAAAGTCATAGAATGCATAAGTACAAAAAGTTGCAGGTTCCTCGGCACCAAAAACTTGCACAGCTTCAGGAGAAAACATCACTTTGCTAATATGAACTTCAAAAAGATTCTCTCCTCTTTCTAAATGTAAAGTTTCATCAAATTCATCCACTGGATCATCTGGCAATATTTCTGGCCTGAATTTGTATTGCTTAGTACCATAGGCAATGTCTCTTAGTTGAGCTGCAACAAACAAAGCAGAGCTACAATATGACATCTTTTTAAAGTGTTACCAAAATAATTGCATATTTGAAACAATACAACTGCTGCTCAATTAGCACACTGACAACAACCAAGAATATCTCCAGCTTCTTCAATACATACAAAATTAAGTACAGGCTCCTAAAAATTATAAGACTATGAGGCATTTAGAAAAATCAAGAATGCAGAAGCATTACAGATTAATCAAAATAACACTATGATGATATGGAGCACTGGCTTAGCACATGTATATATACAGCTTAAGTATACAAAATAGTATTAATTGCTGGAGAAATAAGGAAAAATACATGCTTACACAATCAGGACAAATCATCATGCAACCCTGTAGTACAGGGGATGTCATGTGGAGACAAAGTTAAACTTGCTACCACATTAGGCTTTGGAAGGTATCCTTCAGGTCTCGTGCACACCACTTAAATGTATTAAAAAAGCATTTAAGATTTTTCATATACTTTGCAGCAACACAATAATTATGAAATTGTAGGATAGCCCATTAAGAGATTGACTACAGATTATATATAGTTTTTTTAAAATATATATATATATATAAAGTTTGAGCTTTATCCAAACTCAGGAATAGCTGCAGTGGATAGTGGTATGTTCATTTTGATTAATAGCTTTAGCATCTAAGTTAAGGGAAGAGCACACAGATAAATTTCTATGAAAGACCTGACTTCTCTATTACTTTTAGAAATAAAAGGGTTCTCCAGGTAGGAAACTTAATTCTTGCAAGGATAACTTGCAGCAGATAGACTATGTAAAGATTGGAGGAAAGGATATTGCAAAAATACCTTCTAATTTTCTGATGCGAGCAGCCCTAATGTCAAGAAGGTGGACATATTGTTCCAGTTTTACCTCATAATCTTTCTGTAGACTTTCCATCTTTTGCGTCACTACTTCAACTTCAGTCTGAAAAAAAGGTGTATATAAAAGAAGAAAAAGACTTAAAAAGATTGTCTGTATTGATATTGCATAAATAGTAACAATTCAACAACAGTCTACTCTAATTTCAAAATACAAATTTTTTTTTTCTTTACTATCACAATTCTGTTCTTCCAGGTGAATGTTCCTAGCGGTTTATTATTACTTTCAACAGCAGCAAATCTTGCATTACCTTACCTAAAAAAAACAACCGCCTTTGTTGCTTAACTTCCAAGTCTAACTTATCACTTCCTATTTTCCTAAGGGAAAACAAGTTCTAGTGGTAGAAATGTTAAAATATTACTATTGGGTTATTTTTCGCTATGAGAAGAGGTTAGTACCTGATAATCCTTGTTAATTTTATGCTGTACTATTAACATATTTCTTGTCTTTTCAAGTTCTTGCACTGTTTCTGCATGTGTTAACTGCAGATTCCGCAAGGACTGTTCCAAATCTTTATGGATGCCATCTTCTGCTTTTGCAAAAATCCTAAGGTCTCCATTCTTCTGCTGCTTTTGAACCTGAAGCAATTTGAAAAAAATATTGGAACAGACTTTTGTGAAAGAATCAGACACATTTGTGCATGATTAAATGTAGCATTGGAATAGTATTCTGGATCTACTAAGTAAAGTAACACTAGTAAATTACTGTTTTACTAGTAAAACAATAATGCCAATTTTGAAAATTTGGAGTAGGCCACAGTGTAAAAGTTACAAAAGAGGTATACTAATAAGCATCAGGATGACATTGTGTCCTCTATTATCATCAGGAACCAATTAAGAGCAGCTTGAAAGCAATCAGTCTCTTCAAGCCACTGAAAATACTGTGAGAAGCCAAAAGTGAGATTTTCATGTAAACTTTTATTTTCATTTCTCTTCTCCCTGTTTCATTTTCATTTTTGCTACATAGAAAAGAATTACAACCTGTGTAAACATAACCTCAAAACACAAAAACACTTTTCCATAGTTTTTCTCTGTAATGGACAGAAAAGTTGCTAAGCATGGTTCTTGTATTTTCAGCATTTCCATACTTAGAACATGTACTCATAACTTACAGTACTACTAAAGAAAATATTGCTAGTGTTACAGAACAGAGGCATAAGAACAAATTACAGTGTTACAGAAAGGAAGCATAAGAACAAGTGGTAATAATTCCTTTAACTGTGAAAAAGCCAGAAAATGCTTTCACGTCTGGTTTAATTCACTTTTGATGTTATAATGAAATATGTACAGAACCCTAAGTAAATTACATCCCTGCAATTTTTTCTTCCGCTTCACCATAACTGAAAAATGACAAATGCACACATACAAGCTTAAAGCATTAGCTGCCAAAATATGCACAAACGACATACCCCTTGAAAATCCTGAGCATCATGCAGAAAACGTGCAAGGGTCAAAGTTGGGAAAAATATATGCAAATAAATTATTTCAAAGTTACCTTTATGAGCAAGAGAGCTTCTCGGAGTTCTGCCACTTCAATATCACTTTCCTGAAACAGAAAAACTCAATGAAAAGGTGTTACTGGATGTGAATGAATGAATAATGGAAAGAGACATTGAGAATAACAAGATGCATTCTCACTAGACATGACATTTTGCCTGCTATCATGAATAAATAAAGTCTGCTATATTTCTGCATTCTTTTACTTTTAAGAGAAGTACTTGCATTATGTATAAAACAGAGCAGGGGGGCTTTTTGGACATTTTCTAAACAGAAATAGAGCTCACCTTGGTGAGGAACTTCACGTGATTCCTCAGTTCTTCTAGCTGTTGCTTATGTTCCAGACAGTGTAAGTGCAGGTCTTTGTTCTCTTGGGTCAGCTTTTCATTTTGGTCTTTATATGTAGAGAAAGAATATAATAATCCGCTTAGTTCAACAATAATTGTAGAAACCATGAACTTAGTCATATTAACTCTGTATAAACAACGTAAAAATGAATTTGTTCTATAAATGGAATTACTTGTCTTATCAAATGATAACAGTGACACAGAAAACTCTTATCTGATTGAGCTGCATGGATAAAAAGGCACAATCTTCTTTCCTTATATATTTCATTGTTATAACAACCTTACTTCTTTCATGTAGAGAAGTTTTAAATACTAGCTTTTCTCTAAAATCAAGTTTCTAAGGGACAAAAATACACTTTTCCCATTACTGTCCTTCCCCTTGCAATTCATATCCTCTAGACTGTAACCCAGATCCTTAAACACTGTAAATTCATATTCTAGGTCCAAGGGACACAAATGTGTACCTAATATGCAAGTATTAGCCTCCACAAGTAGCATATGCATTAGTAGAAATTAAATGTCAGAAAAAAACCCACTACTTAGTTGAGAATACACCCTACTCCTTTTGAGAAAATAGCCCATGAAACCCTTTTAATGGTGAAATCTTTTCTGCTCACCCTCAGGGTACGATGCACAGCTACCGATTTTTCTATGCACAAAACAGCTTTTCAGTTTTGAGGTTTTTAACTCAGCAAGAAGTAGCAGTTGACATTCTAGTCTCAAGGGTTTGGGCATGTTTTAAGAAAACTGACATCAAGTTAATTTTAATTCCATAGTGTTTATATATCAAATGACATCTTCTCTAAGAACGAATCATCTGAAATGCCAACGCTCCTACAAATAGTAGCCTCCCTCAGACACATGTTGGGACTCCCTAAGAGTCACTTTCAATTCAAACATGTATTTGCCAGTAAGGTTTAATTCTCTGCAGTTGGGAGGAAAATGCAATATATTTATGCAATTGCGAAGAGCATGCAGTAAGAACCTTTAGCAGCTACCAATGCGAAAGCCAATAAGGAAATAATCAAAACTAGCTTTTTGGGGGATGTTTTGAGGGAGAAAGCCTTGATAGAAGATTGTGAAACATTTATCAGCAATTGATTCCAGATAAATCCAGGATCTGTGTCTGTTGGGTAGGAGGTATCCCACAAATAAAGGCACAGAGTGTGGAGAGGGCTCCTAATGGCAACATTACTTCTCTCTAAGCTACAAAGAGGTCTGACTGGCACTTTCTCTGGGGATAAGAAGAGGTCTCTCTCCTCAGATTCTCTATCTTCTCTTTACTTTTTTTTTTTTTTTTTTTCCTGACAGCAGCAAGCTCAGGTCACTTGTTTTCTAACATTAACCCTCCATTTCTGTAGACCTTTTAATAGAAGCAGAATTCAAAATATCTAGGTTAAGATATCTAACACAGTTTGAGAAATGACTAAGCAGCCTGTAGGTTGGGACCATTTGAAATTTATCTTTACTGCTCAACATGGGGGCAGCAAAGACAGATAATGTAAAGTATGTAGCTGCAGCAAAGAATGCCTAAGTTTTGATTGGGGGGGAAAAAAAAGGAAAAAGCTGTAAATTAATCCCAAATACTTAGGTCTAGAAGGGTTTTAATTCATTTTTCTTTCTTAGGTACCCTTAATGAACACACAGTGCCTACTGCTTACTCCAAATATCCTTTGGAAGGAGGTGTGCGTGCATGGAGAGAGGGGCTGTAGATAAAACAGTTGGGAACTGAAGAGCCACTGTCCAACAAGCAGGAGGATCCACCCAAAGATGTCAGTGGAGCTCAGTCAACTGAGAATGACAGTATCCATGTCATATCTTCATATTAAAACAGCTTAAGGCATATTATGTCTTTGAGTATCACTTGGGGCTATTTCTGCAAACAATCCCTCTGATCCAATCAAGCACTTACATACTTCATCTCATACATCAAGTCAGTAGATCTAACTCAGAACCTCAAAATTATGCACGGGCTCAACTGGAGCCATAGCCATAAAAAAATTACTCACAAAGCAGGCAAAGTCCTACAAGATTATTCACACAAAGGAAGCTACATTTGAGAATGGGTTCTAAAGATATTTTCTGCTTCTTCCTTGCCTGTTCTTTTATTTAAATTTTACATTATCACAGTTAACGTTCATGTAACCAGAAGCATAAAATTCAAAATTCACTCGAAAATAGATACCTGTATTGGAACCATTTTTGTGGCTCGACAGCTAGTCATTACCTAAGCAGACTCTTCACCATGCACTGAAAAGACAGTTTTCAGCTCACCTACAGTAAGCACTAGGCTTTTCTGCAAAATACAACTTTGCCTGCAACAGGAAATACTCACTTCCTGGCAAAGTGAGGGTTATTTCAGAAAGATACCTCTTTCTGCTTTCATCTTGTCAAGGATTTCATTTTTGTCTGCTAAATCAGATTTGAGAGCAGTCTCGAGTTTAGCAATCTGCAGTTTCAGTTGCTGTTCCTTTAATTTCCATTGCTGTTCATGGGTCACACTGAAGACACTGTAATAAAATATGTGGCATGTGAAAAACTTTTAGTAATCAATTTCAACTGAAAATAATAAAGAAAAAGGCTTTTAGTGGCACAAAGACCACTGTCATCATGTCTCAGGAATTAAGTAAACATATGCTGGTCTGCTGCTGTTGAAACCAAGGCGCCTTTCTCAGGCTGCGGTTACAAAACATGAAAGAGTTTGTGGGATGAGCAAAGGAACTGGCCTTAATTTAGAGCTCCAAAGTCTGAAAAGTTGGCAGCATGCAACATTTGTGGGGCTAGAAAAGGAATTCAGATGTGTATTCCAGAGTAATCCACAATTCCAAACCTCAGCAACTGACAACTGACAAGACCATTCTTTCCGCATACAAAACCTCTTAATGTAGAGAGTTGCGATTACCCACCTGATTTCTTTTAAATCTGTGAAGCATGTAGAGCCTAAAGCCAGTCGCTTGTTCAAAGAAACACTGACCACAAAGTGACAACAGTTCTCATACTGTAAAACAACAACTCTGATACTGATTAAGAAGTACATATAAAAGTAATCTTTTTCCTCCTCGAAGATATAAAAGAAAGGAGGTGGGCAAGGAAATTAAAATACTGTTTCTCCTGTAACACATTATTTAGTTGTAAACTACAAAGCTGTCTGCAGTATTACAGACTGAAAAGCAGAACTGGTGAAACCACAGTAAAATGCGCAACTCTGACTGAAGCAAAAGCAAATATATTCAATAATTTACAGTATAATTCCCAATAGGTTAAAAAAAATAAAATAATGCAATGTGGTTTTGTATATTTTATGAGGTGAGTATTATGACCTTCACATTATTATTTAATAGCTGAATTCTTATTGACTGCAACTACGCCCTTCATCTTAACCTTAGCCAATCAAAAATAGTTTATTCGCTTAAATGAAAAGGCAAAAAAAATGCAAAAAAAATCGAGCTAGTTCCTCACCTATTCACTAAAGCTCACTAGAAAAGACATTGCTTTAAAAATAATATTTATAAATATATATATATTAGAGTTTTATATAACAAAAACTACAACCAAATATACCTAAAAGAGAGAGATATATGGCAGAAGGGCAAACTACTCAGCTTGGTTAACTGAAAGGGAATTGCCTCTGCTTTAAAAGCTATGTCTATGACTACATAAAATGGCTGTGAATACACAGATGTCAGATTTTTTTCTGAAGATTAAAGGAAAAAACATACCATAACATAAATTCTATACTCCAAAATATTTGGCAAGAGTTGATATTCTTGCTTTGCGATCTGCAGAAAGATTGGTGTTTTTATTTTCCCACCCTGCATCTTACATAGTTATATTACACTGTTGTCTATGAAGACACTATATGATAGTGTGAAGAATGCCTTGTATAGCAACCATGGTCTAACTGAAGCCTCCAGGTTGTAGAATAATATATATTTCCCTCTTCTATAATTTTGAAGATAATTCAGTGCACCTACAATCCTTATTATGATATTGCATAGAGATAGAAGACTGCACAGCACTCTGAAGTTTGACCGACTACCAAACAAAAGGAAACCAACCATCTTAAGAGAAGATACAAATGCACTTAGTTTTCAGACTTCTGAAACAAGTCTGCAAGGTTTAATAAGCCTGCTATCTAGTTACCCACATTCACTACTTTTAGATACAGGTACTTCACAAAAAGGTGTAGCTACATATCATCTCGTTTTTTCAAAAGATTATGCTGCAGAAAAGTCATTAGCAGCTATTATGAATCCAATTCTGGAATCTGGACATGCTTACGTCAAGACCAGTTCAGAAGACAGGATTTTCCTGAGTACATATCATGCTAAAGTTCAGTTGCTTAGGTCAGTTTGAATTGAGTCCACTTCTATCTCTTCCCTCCCTCAAATTTTAAGATTACTTCTCACTTGAAATCATGTGGAATTTCTTGTACATTTACTGTACTTTGGAGTTGGAGCCATCTGGTTAACTATAAATGGTCAACCACATCTGGCACTGTTTCCCTGGGAGGGAGTCTGAGCATCACTAAATTTGCATTACAAGGTCATATGAAAACAATTCCTACAAACCTTTTATCCAAACGAATTGTTTTCTCGGATACTGACTAAATAATAAGAGTCAACTGACAAATTCATACTTGTTCTTTGTAAATTCTTCAGATAAAATTTTGCAGTCTTGACTCTGGTAAAAATCCCATACACTTCAAAGGGTTTTTCCAAGACAATGACAATAGCAAGGGAAGAGATTTAAGCCTTTCCCTTCTTACCCCCTAAAAATACTATAGAAAAATCAACTAATTTTCTGGCCCCTATGGACACTGGCTTATCCACTGATAGCAAAAACAATGCTGTAGTAAGCTTGCATTGATGAAAATCAACAGAACTAGCAAAAATACTCCATTTCTCTAATTTCTTAGTACCTGTAAAATAGAATCATGGAACAACAATCAAAATTTACATAGGGTATATAAAAAGACAGCCCATTCGACGGGAAAAAATATTTGGTAGATGATAGCATTATGAGAGAGCAATATTTGAATTTAATTAAACTTCTTATCACCTGTCCCACTCCAATTTGCAAACCAAGAAAAGAAACTTTTGAACCAAGATTGCAACTTGATATATTAGTAAATGTCATTTCTTTGCATAATAATGGAGAAGACAAACCAATATTCCAAGTACTTATGTCAACAGATTTTGGAGGAATCCACAACAAACTTTGGCAAGTCATGAGTCTTCTACACAGGACTCTAAATTTTGTGATTATACAATTGCTACATAACATAATTGGAAAGTTTAAAAGCTATATATACTCACAGGTCTTATAATTTTAAATTTCACAGTAGAAAGTGCCAAAAAGTAAACACATACTGCAAGAATACTGTAAACCATACTCAACAGCACTATCATATTTACTCATCATTCCTTGACTTTTTTGACATAAACAAAAAAAGTCTCAAAGGAGAAATCAGTCTGATAAAAGTCTAAAAAAATACTAGAAAGTCTGATGATAGCTTATTGGTTTAATGTCTAAAATCTATTGAATTCTACTTAAATCACATTTTAAAAAAAATAACATACAATTTGAAGAGTATTAGAGCAACCAGCAAAAAGGCTGTCATGTTTCAATGATATAGGTGAACTACTGGTTGAATATCGTAACATTTTCCATATACACATACTGCTTTGAGGAATTGTCTTAAGATATTTGCACAAGTGCACAAATACCCATGTGCATATGCCCATGCAGGTGCACACTGATGGGAAATCAAATTTTAAACAGGACTGGAAATCAAGCTTTATATAAACATCCCCCCTGCCCCATTTTACCTGCTATACAGCTTATCATAGTTTTCTTTTAAGAGTTCCTTCTCCTTCTCCAGATCATTTATTCTATCCTGTAGCTAAAATGAAGAAGAAAGTTCTAAGCAATCAACAGCATAAAAAAAGATTACAGTGAATTTATAGACATGATCCATTAGCACTTTACAAACATTTTCATGTTTTTCATTTGTTCTTTCCATACAATTGTCTTTAGAATTTTCAAAATAACACTTTTTTCACTACTAGATTTCTGCTTGGCCAAGTTAGGCTGTTTTATGTTGCTTAAATGGAGTTGAGAATAACAAGTCTTTGCTGAATAAACAGCAAAAATATTCTGATTGTTTCTGTTCAGTTCTTTAAAACTCTGACATCATTGTGTGTATTATGCCAGCTTTGAAAATTTGTTTGAAAGCTATCCCATCCTTATCCTATATGATGTTTACCCATATACATATATACATATGTATATACAGAGAGAGATAGAGCACTTAAAGCAGATTGTGCCCAAGAGAGCTATCATCTCACCTCCTCTGTCCTTCGCTTGGAAATATTCACTGATTGCAATTCTTTTTCAAGACGGAAGCACTTTAAACGTTCCTCTTTAAGCTGCAGATTGAGTTCATCACCTTTTGTCATTAAAGCATCATGGTTGCTCTTCAGATTCCTTTGGTTCTACCAAACAGAAGAAAAAAATGATGAGATCGGCTGGAGATTGAAAAAAATCATGCTAAGTAAACTGTTACAAATCTCTGCATGTTCAGCCAGGGGTCCTTTCTGGCAGCATTTAAGACATTCTCCATATGGTCAACAGGAGACACTCTTGAGCTAAGAAACTCAAGGATAAACTTTTATTACACAAGGCCAGGAGGAGGTGGCGTTTTCGATCCTCCTACAAACATTAAACCTTCAGCTCAGTCTTGAAAAGGACCAAGAAATACATCTGTTAAACAATTAAAAGATTTTCCTGTGGTTACAGTGGTTAGACATACTGACCAAAAACACTGCAGTAGCAAGAAAAAAATGAATGTTGACCACAGTTATGTTAATCACAGAACTCGCTACAGCTCTGTTAACCCATAGATATAAATATCTAATTGCTCCATATTTCTTATGCACTTGGTTATATTTCCCTGCCAGCAGTAACTTCATAAAAATATAAAAGAAACCTACATTTCTGATCTACTTCAGTGGATTATATTAAGCATTATATTATACATTTAATCAATTTTAATACTGAACAGGAGATGCTGATAGAACCTGTATTTCCAAAATACTAGTTAGCATTAGACTTTTTATATTTTCCAATGTTTAAAAACACTTAATTATGAATTTAAACAAAAATCACACTCACACAAATGATTTGAAAAACTAGTCCAGCAGCCACTCTTGTGTTTAACAATTTTATGTAAAAAATTATACATCTGCTATGTAAGTGGGTAATAGTTAATTATCACAAAAAAGTTAGCTTCATATTTTTCAGATCGCTTTGGCATTCCTAGGAAGTAGCATCATGGAGAAGCTGAATGTGAATCTGTGCAAGATGTTTAGGTTCACACGCAGTGTAAAAAAAGTTAACAAAAATCAGCAGCCTCTTATATCTCATTTCTTCGTAAGAAAAATCTTCTGAAGAATACATCATCTAGCAAAGTCTTAACCCAGAAAGATCATCAAGTATACTACTCATCACTTTGTAACAGTCTTTCTTCACCGCTCTTCTTCCTCTGCAGTATGGCTGAACTGAAATACAGTAACTTCTTCAAACAAATAAGTCATATATACTCTTTTCTTTACATGACTCTCCAAATTTCCTTCTTTCTTCCTCAAAACTACAAACCTTGCAGAGTCTCAACTCTCCAGAAAATACCCAAGGGAACATGACTTTTCTTCCTCACCTCCCAACCTCTTCCTTTTTTTTTAATTCTTTTCTCTTTCAATAAGTTGCGTTACTTTGACCTACTAATTATATATAAATAGTAAGGCTGTCATTCATCGACCATTTCACTCTTCTTTCCATAATTTTAATTTGCAAACAAAACTACAATCCATGTCTTGATTTCACTTTCAGGTTGATGCTGCATCTCCCCCAGTGATCTGTTGTGATCTGTTTCATGTACAGTAACATCTTCTTGGAACTTCTAATATCTTCCTGAAAGATCCCCTCACTTCAGCGTCATTTAATCCTTCAGTAGCTCTACTCTCTCCATCATGTTGGAGAGAATATATCCTTCCTCATTACCTTTAAAGAGATTAAGGCTTCACCCTCCTTGTTCCTCCCTCCCCTTCAAGATAAATTCTTTTTGTGAATATTTTGTTTGACTGTTCTGTCAGTACTTTTTTCCATCATGGCCCGGTTGTTTTTTATTCTGTTCTCTTTGGAAATATTTTGAGATTCAGGGCCTTGGTAACAGCTACGTTGATGATTTTAGTTTACTATTTCTAGTCTGGGATTTTGTTCCTTTGGAAAACATGCCTCAATATAGTAGCCAAGTAGAAATAATTCCCTTAAGAGAATAAATGTATACCATCTAGGAGAATTGCACAAATACAAAACTCAAATCTATTTTTCATTTACATTTCTGAAATCAACAGGTGCAGTGATTGTTCAATTAACTCTACCGTATTTTAAATGGTAATTGTATATGTTTACCCTATTTCATACTGCAGTTCCAGAAGTCTACAATTAAGATGCATAAGTATACCAGTAATATGAATTATGTAATCAAAATAATTTTCAAGGTCCTTTTTTCTTCTAAGTAGATTGCACAACTCCTTAATTCAGTTGCACACAGAATAATTCTTTAATAACAAAGTTTGGTAACAAGGCAGAAACTTCTGATTTTAGTTATCTGCATTTAGTTAGATACCCTTAGCAGATGTTTCAAACATATTTAACTGGAAATGGAAATATTATTGTATCCATTATCTTGTGAAAAATACAGAAAGACAGAAATCATTCATGCATTTGAAAAAATCCTGCTCTGACTGTGAATATTAGAACCATCATATTAAAATATCAGTTTGATTCCTAGGCATGTGTTTCTATTCAGCTGCTGCCAGTAGAGAGACATAAGAACTTATGTTTGCTGTAAATTACCGAAAAGTTGCATATGATTTAGAATGGAACAGTTCAGGTATTATTTTCTACTGAACAACATAGAAAGCCATGTGAAACCTGTCTCCTCTAGATCTTATATTCTATGTAGTTCACTCCATGCATGAAATTAAATTCAAGCTACTAACAAAAGAGCTGCTTTGGTACAGAAGATATAGGTATTAGACTGGGGGGGAGTGAGGCGAAAGCAGAGCAAGACAAAAAGTAGTAGGAGAAAGACACAACAAAACCTGAACAGAACAAAAATCTTAGGGTAAAAGTCTTGGAGTGCTAAAGCAGCAGGATGATGGTAGCAGCAATAAATGTTTTGAGAAAAAAATATATTTTCAGAAAAAAATATAAAGAAATGAGTACAGTCATAGTGTCTTGCCAACTGTGGGGCAAGGGGATGAAAACAGAAGGCTAAAATACAATAAAGAGAAAGGTGGATTTTCACAGCCTCCGATTCAAGAGGGCTAACAGAAGATGACAAATAGTTCTGTGTTCTTCCCGGGCAGCAGTGAATACAGGCATAGGATCCATGTGGTACTTTTAAACAGTTAAAAGACTAAATAACAGACCTTAATTTTTGACAGGCAGTCTTGAGATAGCCATAAAACAGAGGCTGTTCTACAAAAACTTTAAGACTTACTAGACCTCTGAAAAAAGTAATTTCAAGGCAAAACTAACTACACATTTGAGATAGTTCAGGTTCAGTGTATTTACTATATTATCACATATTTAACATTGATTTCAAAACACAATCTGTGTATATTTGTTTTCCATTTGCACAGTAGTGAGAATAACAGAACATAGTGACCAAATAGTAATAATTACCTCTTGAAGCTGGAGAAATTTTCCTTCCATTGCTGAAAGAGCATTGCTTTTCTCAACCAGCTGCTTATGGATCTTGATCATTTCCACATTGTCCCGGATGTTTAACCTTCAAATCATATTTAGAAAAAAAAAGCATAAGGAGATTTAAGATGACAAACAGGTTCTCTTAAAAAGTTGAAATCTCTCACAAATCAGCTTTCTACAAGAAATTCTGGGGGCAGATTTCATATCGAAAAGGCCACTTCAAGAAGTACACAAGAGTTTTTATTTATTAATTTAAAATGTAATGAATGTCAGAATAGTATCTACAGTGGTTGAAGGAAGTCACCTCTTCCAATACTTTTAGACAGATATTGGAAAACTTGTCATGATGCCCTGCTAGAGCAAGAAAATGGACTACAAAGCTTACACATCTGTAAACCAGCTGAGAACACGAAATATATTTCTCTTATTCTTTAAAATATCAAAGCCCATGGTGTTTTGGCATTGCCCAGTAAATTGCCCTTACACAGAGGATAAACATACTCACAAACCTGGGATCCTCCCTAAGAAACAGCCTTAACACCATGTTAAAACAATCATGGGTCTAAAACATGTTCTCTACATAAATTAAAGCTGCGGTGAGTCAAGACAGCATCGCTATCTCATGCTAGCTATTTTAAAGCTAATGTAGTGGCACAATTTTATTAATCTTGTTCCACACATCAAACAAAAGGCTCTGATGCCTTCAAAGGCTTTGTCTTTCTTTCTTCTTTAAGCAGGAGGATTTTTTTTTCTCCCCCAAGTTAAAAAAAGAAAAAAAGCAGATGATAGTGAAATTTATGATGTACAGATGTAAACCCCATGGCTCCTGACTATCAACATTAACTATTTTTTTTCAATGAAAAATTATTTGGTGGGTTTTGGTATACTGATATTATCAAGTCCATCCCTCAAATGCAAAAGTGAAAAAGTACTATTTATGGAGATTTAGTTCAATTCTGATAATTATAAAGTTGTTTCTCAGAGATTCTGCATACCAAAACCATGGGCTATTCACATATTGGTGCATTATACCCATCACAAATTCACCTCTGTTTAGGCCACCGCAATCACATTGTTCTCCATAACACTTTTACAGGATTTTCAGGCTTTTTTTTTTTAATAAAACATATCTAATAAATGGCTGATGCACCCAGGCACATGATAAAGATGCTGCCATTAACACCTGGCAGAATCATTTCAAATTTCATGGGAAAAGCCAAGTTACTTGCACAAGATCCCTTTGGCTTTCCATAAAGACAGTCACCAAACAGCCAAACAGGTTATGTCCATGAGGAAGGGTATTTACTAACATCTTCCTCTCCTGCAGCTGATCCATTTTGCCCCCAGAATATCTTCCAAGGAATTCTGATGTAGCTTAAATATAGGGGCTCTATACAGATTTCATCTAAAGCAACTCCTCTCTTATACAGATAATATTTTGCTCCAAGATTAATCAAATAAGACTAATTAATCTATAAGACTAGATTAATCTATAAGACTAACGCTGTACTAAGATAGCTCACTCAATAATATTGTCTCTACTGCCAAAAAGCCAAAATTTGGGCCTTAGAACCCTGAGAAATGGAGGTAGAGCTGGAATAAAAGTTAGAAAAAGAGCAGACCTTAGAGCTCCTCTTGGACATAGTACCATGAGCTCATGGACATACTGATTTAGCTCTCGGGGCCTTCTGCCCCAAGTATAGAAATAAGAAACACAAACCCTATCCTTCCAGTCTAAATCTTATTTTAAAGCTGCATTAAAGAGTCTGAAATTGGAAATGGAGTTAGGAGAAAGTGACTTCTTAAAGAGCTAAGAATTATGCTAGGGGTTAATGTCTAAAGTACACCAAAGAGATAATCTCTTTTCCAGGCCTGTATCATTTGGATTAAAATAATATAATGGGGTCCCAGTAATGGGCTGGGGACCAGCTGTGTGGAATGGGGGGCTGACAGCAAACTATACCAGAAGGAAATGATTAAAGAAAAGATCATGACCTGCACTGTACAAATTTATGCCAGTAATTCCCAGATGGCTAAGCTAATAAAATCGAGGCCTAATTAAACCACATCCCTTGAATCTTGTCTCTATTTCCATATGAGTAGGGCAAGGATAAAATTATCAACCTGCAGTCTGTAGAAATTTCTTAGAGACCTGACTGCTATATTGACTGGACCAGTGGCACTCAAACTTTCAGAAGGGGGAAAAAAACAAAACAAAACACCACCACAGCCTCACTTACCATCTACTCTACAAAATAAAAACCAATAGTTTTCTAACACTGTTACACCAATGCCCTAGTTATCTATCTAGATGATGCGCAAGGACAGAGGGGCAAAGCACCAAACTGCACTACACATTTCTCATTTTGCAGGGCTTTGGGATCAACAAGATTCCATGTTGGTTATATGTTATATTCTTTCCTTTATCTCTTAAACCAAGAACAAGCTCTGGTTTTGGTTCTTTTAGTATAGAAAAATATATCCTGGAAAATAAGGGTATTAACTGCATTCGGTAAGCTATTTTAGTGGAGAAATTATGGAACGCACATTTTTCTCAGTAGGCACTAGTGGACATTCTCCATCCTATTCCCCAGGGTCCTTACCCTGATCATGTAACTCTTAAACACTTCACATATCTTCTATCAGATTTCAAACAAGAAATTTGAGTCAACAAACCATAAGTTACGTTAAGTACCATGGATTTCTTGTACGTAATTTGAGACGTACATTACTTTCTAGACGTAAATTCTACATTATTTTTGCAGACTGACTTCATATAAGCTGAATTTTGAAATCTATCTTTACTATAAAACTCTTAAAATTTTAAGAGAAATAGGATGGTGAGCATCCAGTTTAGGGGTTTTATTCAGTTTCTGGCTGCTGCACATACATAGGTTTATCTAGAGAAAATGAACACAACACAGGTCTTTGAGATATGTATCACAGTATCTCCAAATAATAAAATCTTTACTTTGAGATATTATTGAAATATCCTATATACACAGAGCGAGAAATTAGTTAGGATGAAATCAAAATTTCCTAAGATGACCTTCAGATGAATCTGAGTCACCTGATATTGAATTCTCTTAAATGACAAAAATGGACTTCTTACCTATTTACCCAAAACAATTGGTATTTTCTTACTCATCTCCTTTCCATGGCCACTCAGTAAAATGTTTTTCAACTTAGTTTCACAAAAACATAGCAAGAGGGAGAAGCAACTACTAAGGCTAAATAAAAGCATTACAACAATGCTCTTTGACAACTTGTATTTTTCACAGTACCTCTGGCTTGTTTCTTGCTCCTTCAACTGTAAGAGAGATCCTTCAATTTCCTTTTCTTTCCTCCTTAGCTGATTCCCAAGCATCTCTCTGGCATGTTCTAACTCCTCAATGTGTTCCCTTTGTGACTCAATCACAGACTCTCTGCAAGGACAAGCACCTTATGTTCCAAAAGCTGACCGGTAGTTAATAAAAACTAAGTAGTCGAGAGCAATCATTTAGAAGTGTTCAACAAAAAAATGTATTTCTTAAATTCATCCTAAGAGATTTAAGAGTTAAACTTGCTATGGAAACAACTGGAGTATTTACAGTTCTTCTTGTGAAGCCTTCTGATCAATGAAAAAATCTCAGATTTCAACATATTATCAGACAGCAGCAGCAACACCATAATACTCTTTACATAACACTGTGCAGCCTGAATAACATTTTAGCCTGTTTAGCAGAAACCAGTTGTTAACATCTACATTATTTGTGGTTTCTTGCAGTCTATATACTCAAGTCACCCTAATCCATTGGTACCAAGTCTATTCAGGAGAGGACATCTCCTTTACTAGCTCACTAAAGAATGCTAGAACAGTTATAGCAGGAACAGTAATATTTAAGCTTTTATTCTGGGTTAGATAATTTTAGAAAGGACAATTCAGATAAGCTGCCTTGAACGGTGGAATTTACCCAGAAAATGTGATTAAAAAAAAGCAGAAAACAGTACAGAGGTCACAGGTTAATATTTCTAGTAGGCTGCAACCTTGAGATTTTGATTCTCCAGGCAACCTCTTTCCAAATACCTTTTTCATTAACATTTTCTTTAATAACAAAGTAGTTACAGTAGAGTAAGCTACAGTTCTTCACTATATGATGTACATCTTCCAAAGTAATAATTTCTAAAAATGTTTTCTCTTAAATAAAACCACATATTTTAACAAGAAATATGGAAAACATACAGATTTGCTATTTCAGCCCTTGCATCCTCAAGAAGACTCTGTCCATATCTTGGGAGCATAAGGTGAGGCGATCTCGCTTCTAAATCCTGAACTCTCATTCCTAAAACCAAGGAAAAGAGAAACAATTTTTTTATGATGCTGAATGTAAATAAATATATTTAGTACAAGAGCCAGAGTCTATTTAGAGACTGTATCTCTATATATGTATTTCTCAAACGTCTATGACTCTTATACAGATTCCCAAAGAAGCATTTTCATATCAAAAACACCAGGAAAAATGTTCCTCGTATTCTGTCACATAGCTCATGTAAAATTTAAAATATAAGCAATACAGTTCACTGTTTAGGAGAGGCATTAAAAATAATTCCTGATTTTTTTTTCCCCCAAAGATAAATATAGATGGTATCTTCACTGAAGATGTAGCAGCAGCAGCAATGTAATTGAACAGGAATATTAACTTGTTCTCTGATTGCACTTCCTTCACAAAGTCACAATGAGAGTGTCATTTATTTAGACAAGCAACTACAGAACCATTTTAAGTTACAATACAAATAATTTGCTCAAGTCCTTTGGTCAGGACTTTCTGCAGACATCTTGCTCTCCAGCCTCCACATTCTCCACAGTTTGAGAATCACTGGCTTGGGCCCAACCACTGTTTAATAAATAAAAAGTATTTTTAAGAGCAAAATTGCCTCATTTTTGATATGCAAAAACATTAAAATACAGATACTTCAAATTTGAAGCTTTATATTACATTCAAGTTAAAAAGGCAATGTGGTAAAGCCTATTGCTTTTCATGGACTGTCTAACAATCACTGAACTTCTTTTTTGGCTAGATAAATAATCAAAGCAAGTCAAGACCAGCAGGGGAGGAAGACAGAAAAAAACGCAATCGAACTGGCTATTTGCCTGATCCAAAACTCATAGAAGTTAATGAGACACTTCTGCTGACTCAATGTTTTGAACCACGGCCAACATCTACCTTTTTTTTCCTCTTTTCTTTTTGTTATAGTACATTTGTACAATGCATAAGTTAACTAAGTGCACCTATTTCTACAAATGTTCTTATCAAACCAGAAAGGTGTTAATGTATAATTTCTAAACATGGTTATCACAAATAAAGGACTGAGTGAGGATGCCTTAAGCTGTACGTCTCGACAGTAAAAAGCACCATTAAAGATGGATGCATTGTGGTATTTGCTTTCCAAGATCCACACGTGTAGTAGATTTTTTTCAAAAGGTCTGCAGTGTTGTGCACACATGTATCGAGACTAGAACAAACCTTGAAATTAAAAAAAAACATGTGCAAACAAACTGCAGATGTAAAACTTTGTTATAGCATGTTAAGGCTAAACTTTTTCCTATCTTGCTTCTTTATAAGCTTTTAACAGTTACAGACATTTTAATTTATACTAGGAAGTACCACAATTTTAACCATTAGAACACATGTTTGATAGCTATTTCATTTTCAAATCTACACTTTTCTTCCATGTCTATCATTGTGAATTCTCAAAACAGGGACTTCTAATGTAAACAAGTTAACATGGCTGCTCTAAATAAATATAACAAAAAGGGCAAGCTCATCGCTTCCACTAATGACACCATGGCCAAAAAAATAAAATAGAAGATGACAGGAGCAAAAATCAGTGGTGTCTGTAACAAAACAATTTTTTAATAAAAGTGAAAAATACCTTTTTTTGCATGCTCCTGCACACCAACAACATCATTCACTTTTCTGAGACCCGTGTTGATGCGGGATTGAACGTAGCTGTATGGGTTAGGCCTGTGGCCTTGAATCTGCAGCTGCTGTTTGGTTGCAATGAGTTTGTTGTGGAGGCCCTCGTTTTGTTTCTCAAGCTCCCGAACTTTCTCTTGCAAATGCTCAATCATTTCTTCCAGCTCCACAGCCTGACCCAGCCGCTTGGGGCCGCCACCAACCTGCTCAGATCTCTTTTTGTCATTAACAAGTCGTATTAACTTAGTGGCCATTCTGGGGAAAATAATAAAAAGATGAAAAAGAATGTGAAAAGTCAGCATAAAAAGCATTCTGTTGAAAGGAACATAATCACTGTGAAGACTTCAGCAAAGAACCTGAATAATAAACTTCAGGTTTTGATATAACTATTACTGCCTGTGAAGAACTCTTTGAAGATAATTGAAACCACTGTGCAGCAATCTGCTTTATAGCACTGACAAATAACAGTTTCCTAAGGCTTATCATTTAAGGTTAGTGAAGGGAGGACACATATTTACTCCATATGCTCCTTCAATGTAATTTTTAACGCATGACCTTATATAGGAACCTCTGCAGGCTGTTAAGTAAAGTTACAGATTTGGGATGTGGTGGGGCAAACTATAAAAGCTACAACTCCACAAAACATTCGACTATTGAAACAATGCTAATAATACACAGTATTCTGATGATATATCATTCCCAGTATTTCAGGATTTAAATACATGTTTCATGTTCTAAAATGCCCAAAACACTTTTGGAGGGAAAGATATTTAATAAGTTACTCAGGAAAGAGATACTTAATAGTTCACATTACTATACTAAATTTTATACTGGTAAACAAAATCAACATGCTTCAGAGAAGTAAAGGTTACTTGTAGAATGTAATTAGATACAGAGGGTATGGTTTTCATCTGTCTTTAAAAGAATACAAATTTTGCTTTTGGCATCTCAAGTGTTGTACCTTTGATTTCCTTTAGTTTTGATAAACATTGGTAAGCTAGAACAAAAGGCAGAGAGGGCACATGGGAGTGATGTAATACACAGAAACAGAAAACATGCCCAGCAGTGAATGGAAAAAACTTGGCATATCAAGAAAGAAAAGGTGGCTTTGATGAGAGAGACAAGTTCAAGACTTTACAAAATCGGTCGCACATCTTCAAGACCTGTATCTAGTTTACAGGGAATCTATTTTTGCAGGCCCAGACAGAAGACTGAAAATAAGGACACACTTCATTTGTTTAAAGGGGTTTGTTTTATTTTTGTATAGTTGTGGACAGAAGCTTCCACTTTAAAAGAACAAAAGTGGAAAAAAAATGTAATAACTTTAGGATGTCACAGAAAGTTATTTGCCTACAAGCATTTTTTTGTTTGTTTTTCAATGCATTTCTCCTGCGAATTAAATCCAAACTTTTAGTTGTAAGGGGTTTTGCATGAGGTATGCCGGGAAAATGATTTAGCTTAAGTTGAGATTTTTCTCTGGTGATCTAAACAAATATTCTATTGAAAATTTTATACTTTCTGTGTCTTTAAATACCAATTTGGATATTCTGTGTAATTCTACCTACACCGATAAGTGCATTAGATAAAGTCAAGCAACCCTTTTCATTTAGCAGAAACAGAACCAACAAGCAACCTATGCACGCTGCCAACTTGTATGTGACAGTAGCCTAACAGCAAAGATGGAAATTATGTCATGCTCATCCATGTGCCCCATCTCACCAACTCCTGGCTTAACAGCAAAGAATGTTCCGGGCTTTAGAAAAGCCTGAAATCATCTTATCTGCTGACAAAGTGCCTTCATGAGCCTTTTCAGGAATCAGAGAGCTTCTGATCAAAACCTAGCTTGGATCCAGCCAACTTTACTAGCCTAGGTCCAACCTAATTTGAATATGGTGCTTTTGCATTAATGAGCCCTCCTGGAATACAGTAATACCCAAATGTATCCTATTATCCACATCCAGTATCCAGAACACATCCAGAATGGATACTGGATGTGGATTCTGCAGAATCCAGGCTGGGTGTGCCAGCACAGCACTAAACTGGAACTCCTGAACCCGAAGTGCCCCATATTACCTGTGTACATTTGGGTCCTCTTGGCTATTTCTAAATTTCTCAAGGTATTTACTTCATGGGACAAAGAGAAAAGTAGGAGTACCTCATTGCACTGGCCCTCTTGAATATAGGATGCAGATGCTGATGAGTAATCAGGCTTCTGTGACCTTTTCTTTAATTCTCAGAATATCCATTTTTTTAGCACATAGCATAAGCTATTGATCCAAGATAACCATCTAGCAAATAAATGTCTATAGATGTCCATCTCACTAATGGCTCTAAATATCACTCACCATAAAAATATGTCATTTGCCCTATAGACAAAGAGAAGTCAATAAAAAAGGAATTGCAAGGAAGGCTTTTGTGATTCCTGAAAAAGATACCCGATGCCCAAAACACATGCTATCTTCTACTTGATACTGATATGCCAAATAACTACCAAGACCATCATATATTGTATTTATGGATAGCTTGCTCATCATAATGTACCGTTCTCTCCATCCTTCCATCTCCTTAGAAAGGAGAAAGTCCTAAGACTTAGAAAGGAGAAAGTCCCAAGAAAATACTCAGATTGACTTCTTTCTTTACTTAAACCTTTAATTAGTAATTATGCAGCCAAAGCTTGAGGTCTGAGCCTCAGTAAAACAAGTTAATAATACTAGAATAATGCAAACAATACCCCGGAAACAAGTGCATCCTTTAAATCCTCATGCTTGCTTTGGAACAACCTACAAGCTGTAGCATAACCTACCTACATTTTCTTCTAATAGCATTCTCTTTCATCTTCCTAAGCTTTATCATCCTTGGCTATAGTTTCACACTACACTGTCTTTCAGTCAATGTTTAAAATGTAAACTGTTTCCACCACCATAAGAAAACTTTCTTTTACTTAACTCCTCTTCAACTGCTGAAGCTATCTTAGTCTGATCATATGATCCAATGAGGCAGTAAGGGAATATTGCTTCCAGGTATTTTATTTTTATGAAGATAACTTCCCATTCCCGTGTAGAAAACCGCTGCACAAAGCAAGGTCCTATTTTTGATTTAACTAAGTCCAGTTTAAATTGTCTGAAAGGTAATACAGAAAATATTAAGGCTTTGAGAGACAACGTTATAAAAAGTGTTCTCAGAGAAATCACTTTGAGTTTCTTGATTACTATAAACAGCAAAAATTTATTTCAAGCAAAAATAAAATTGAAGAACAGGAAAACCCATACCTTTTAATTTTATCCTCTTGCTTATTTGCATGCTGTTTGAGCACGATGTTCTCATCACGCAAACGAAGGAATCTGTCTTCCAACTCCTCACGACTAACCCGTGATACAGCTTGTCGAGCTCTCACATTCTGTGTAGCTGATGGTTCTATCCAAACCAAGACCACTTTAAATTATCTTCATTATGTCCAACAGCATGTAAACCAAAATAACTAATTTCCAGCTATCAAACTCAAAAAAGACCAAGAGTTTTTAGGCAGCTTTATATTTTACATTTGTATGAGTTCATTACTTTTTTCCAGTTTTACAGCTATATTAACCCCTTACCCCTCCTCTTCAACAATGAAGAGTGATTCAAATGACATAGCAAACTAGTTAGCTACTAGGCAACAAAAATAATTTAGCAAGTAACATGGTACTGTCCAACATACTATTTAAAAAGATTACAGTAATCACAGAAATTCTTTATTAGCTATAAACATACCCTCCTGAAGCGCTAATAGATTAACTAAAAATTATTTAAATTCACTCATATACAAGATTGAACCGAGTGATTCCATTTAATATCAACTTTGCACCATGTTAGAATTGCACAACACTTTCGGTTCATATTTTCTCAGGGTGGTCTGGTCCTATCTTGAATTCAGCAAAATGTTTGCCCCTCTTCACACATACATAATTTTTAAGGGTACAGTTTGTAGTTCAACAAGCTTTGCCATTTTTAGCATCTTGCAGCAAGTCCCTTTAAAAGGGGGAATATTGACAGAGAAGAGGTCATACTGTCTTTCATCTTTCAGAATTTAACCCAGACGCTTAATGTTATTTGAACTTAATTTTCTGAGTGTGAATGTCAGAAACATTTTTAGAAAGAAACTAAAGAAGCCACTGATCAAAGTCTGCAACTGTAATAAATAGCAGCTGGTACAAACCTTGCAATCCTCCAACTCCAGCTAGACTTAGACCCACATCTCTCACAGGCAGGTCTCCTGCAGTCTCATCAGCTGGAGCAGACATTGCTTATCTGTGGAGTACAAAACGCAAATGAAATCCTTCTTCCATCTGTAACATAAATTGTTCACTAGAGTGAAATATAATTACAGTCTATATAATGAAGGAAAAAGTAATGACAGATCCACTGAAATGACACACTCTAACATTACTATAAATACTTTTACCTCATATATATGACTCAGGACAAGTTCAATTTTGAGGGTTAACCCTATGCGGCTTTATCATTGCACAAAATACAGCTTCTTTGTTACGTAACTCCTTTTTTGTTTTTTATTCCGCTAACGTGTGTGGCAGAGCTGTAATGCCCTGTACAACACTTGGAATAGCACATGTGAAAGAGTTCTTGGCAATTATGCCATCACTTAAGTGTTTCCAGCTTCTTTCAATCCCTGTCATATGGGAAATTGCATCTTGGGATTTGTGCTAGAAACTCTCCAATGACAATTCTGTCATAAATCAGAACACATTTCTTTCTTGAAGCAACAGAAAGCTTTGGTGGATGACAAATTGAGATTAGAAAGCTATCAATGTAAGCAAGCAGTACCTCTGTTTCAGTAATAAATGAATATATTTGGTAACAACTGTTGTTTTCTTTATCAGGGCAGAAAACAGGTACAAATACAACTAACTCTGAAGTAACAGAGGGGACAAGGGGAAGAGTTCTCACAAACTTTTCCTAATGTTACATTCTCCAGATGAAATCTAGATCACTGATGAATTCAAAACCACCTAGGAACTACCAGGAAATTAGTATAATTATCTGTGAAATGTCTATCAATTCTATCACTCCCAAAACTGCAGTTACAGATAAACTCTTATTTTGCCAGTCAAGTTTTCTACTGGAAACAAGCCTCCTTACGACTTTGTCCAAAAGGACAGAGAAGAATAATTGGAAATTAAGGTTTTCAACAAAACTGTAACAGCACAAATTCTGCTACTAAAAAACTCATACACAGTTCTCCAAGAGCTACCATTATGAGAAAACAAATTGCACAAGTAGCCCTGGTGAAATCTTAGATTGCTGATAAGCAGTCACATTACTATGTTCTCCATGGACATTTTGATCCTTACAACAAAATTCCAGAATCATTCAAAACAATAATCAAGCCACTATTGCTTTGAATATTTAGTTTTATTCAGGATGAATATTTAGGATTAAGTTTTTTTTCTAGCATTCACATTTTAAAACCATCTACATACACTTTTCATCCATATATATATATATGGATGAAATATTTCCATGTCATCCTTGTTTAGTGTGCAATGTAATTTATATTGGTAGATTTGACTTAATCTATTAATCTAATTAGTTTTGATGCTGTCAGTCACTGAAATGATAGATAACCTTTCCTGATGTTGAGGTTTAAGCACTGAGTTCATTCGAACCAATGAAATATGAAATAATTTTACTGTTACATAATCCAGCTCCTCAATGTTCTCAACTCTATTTTTTCATAGGAAACCCCCAAAACTCTGAATAACTCTTTAAATTAGTACTTTTTACAGTCACTGACTTGGATTATCTCTAGGTATCATGGTTATTTTTATGTATCCCTGTATCAGCATTACTAAGATGAGATTAAAAAGTGAAATGAAACTTTTGCTCTGATCAGTCCAAATTTGGTTCATTACAGCAGCAAGAAAAAAAATGCTATCATTACATATGTTTCTAGGATAATAAGTAACAAAATTTTTTTTCTCCTTTTTAAGAACTTTCAGAAAGATCAAGAGCTAAATATATATTTCTCTCAGCATGACTGTTTTTGCAACACTAGTGGTCCATCAAAACTCAGACATTCTAGCACAACCACATGCACAGGCAGACACTGCTGCTTGCCATCTGCCTAACAATCTTTGCTACTGATGTCTGCTGTTATTTTCTGTGTGGAACAAGTCCCATGTAGAAAAATAAAACAAAAACAAACACACACACACACACACTTATCTCTCAAATGAGCAATTAACCCTGCCAGCAATAAACCGTTACCAGCAACAGCAAAACCAGAAACACTGAAGCAGGGAGCCAACAGGCAGGACAGCACTGCAAAGAGGCAGGACAGAAAGCAAATTTTCTTGGCAAGATGGCATAACTAGTAAACAAGCAATACCTGCAACTCTCAGAGGGACAAAATGAAGTAGATATCAATCTGAAGTCCAGAAAAGTTAGAGGGCATTTCAAAAGTAGTAAGCAACATTAGTTGTACCATTCTCTCTACCAAATGATGGAAATAAATCATGAGCTTTCTTTTCTATCCAGAGACAGGAGGAGTTTCTAACTATTTTACTGAAAACAGCATATGGAAATAGAAACAGCGGAAGGATAGAGGGGCACATGTTGTTTGTGCAAATCTGCATCCTCATCTTCAAATGGCAAAATATAATTTGAGACTTAAAGGTTGGCATGGTATCCTTTCCATCTCATTAATACCCTAAGTAGAACTTATGTCTTTAATGACCATCATTTACACTTCTCTGAAAGAGGACACTCCAAGCAGCAAATCATGTGTTACATGTGTTAGTTATTTGATGAATATTAGCTCAGTTAAGAAAGACGATTTGTCTATTTATGATTACATTCAGCGGTTACAGCATTATCTCTAAAAGCATAAGCTTTCCCCACAGAGCTCTAACTTACTTGTTTGAATCACTTCCAAAGTGATTACACCTGACAAAAACATGTTGGAACAAAAGTGACTTTACCCAAGTTTTACATATAGTGACTGAACTTACAGAAACTGTAGCTTTCTTGTAAGTTACAAGTTACAACATCATTTCTACCAGCTTCAGAATCACATAGATTACTACAAAAAGCTGCACACAAGTTTGCAACAATACACACCACCAGACAGCATGAATACTGCAAACTAAGGAACAAAACTCTGGGTTTAGGCCCATGTTCTTCTACAACTCACAGAAGAGTTTCTAAACTAGTATTCCAACTTGGTCAAAGTGGAGGGAGGGAGGGAAGGACCCAGGCTTAAATTCACCCAAGTTTTCAGCCTGTGGGCATTAAGGTTTGGTTTGCTGGTGAAACCTCAATAAAAAAAAAAAAAAACACTTTTTTTCATGGGCTCAACATGAATTTCAAAGTTCTCAGGCTTTGACCATGGCCCAGGTGATGCCTTTTTCCCAAATGACCCTCCCTCCTTGGTAGAGAAAAGACAGAGCAAAACCACCAAATCAGGAAAAACAAGAACACCTGCTGTAGCCTATAGGTGAAATACAAGTACTTCCAGCCTATGATCTTGTACTTTTAACAAATGCTTTAAAATAAATGTTTGCCCTCCACTGAGCTTGTCTAAAAGTCATCCTGTTAAGAAGAACAAAAAAATATATATATAAACACATGTGGACACATCTTTCAGACATCACATGCTGTAGTGTTGTGAATTTTTGAGGGGGTGGGAGAGAAGGAAGAAAAGGGGGTTGGGAGGGAGAAGAGGAGGAGAAAGAGGTGAAGAGGAAACTGACTTGGGGAGCATGAGGCAGCCAGACTAGCACATCCCACTGCGCTCTGCAGGGAGACACATTCCCAGAGCCGCAGGTCCTGGTGCGAGGAAGGGACAGGGCAGCAACCCGCGCTCATCCTCCCGCACGGGCCCCTCAGCCCCCCAGGCCGGCCATGGCGCAGGGGGCCGCGGCGGCAGCGCCTCCCGCGCCCCTAACGGAGCCCAGAAACGAACGTGGAAAACACCTCACTTTTATTATTAGCGTTAATTAGTGCTATTCAATCCCCCCGCGCTGCAGCCTCTCGGGGTCCCCGAGCCCGCGCAACCCGCCATGGGGGTGGCCGTGCCCCTCGCCGCGGCGCTGCCGCCCGTACTCACGGCCGCTCTCCCGCCTCGCCGCTCCTCCGTTAGCAACTGCCTCGGTTGCTACGCGAGCGTTTCCGCTACCGGGCGGCCGGGCCGCGCGCTTCTCGCCGGGACTTGTAGTCCCGGCCCCGGGGAACGGCGCGGGAGCCGCTCGGAGCGCGGGCAGCGCCATGAAGAGGGGAGCGGGGGAACGGGAGAAAGAAACGAAGGTAACGGCCGTCCCCTCCCAGCTCCCCTACAGGGTGATCTGTAGCTGTGAACGGGAAGCTGAGCGTTAAACGGGAGCCGTTAGGACCGTTGGCGGGGCGCGCGGGCGGACCGTGGCGGCCGTTGCTCGCGGCGCGAGCAACGGCCGCCCCGGTCCGCCCGCGCGCCCCGCCAACGGTCCTAACGGACAAGAAATGGGAGTAAGAGGGTGATGCCGCCCCAGCTGCCCCTCTTGAGGGTGCCGGAGGTCACAGCCCACGCACGGGGGGCGGGTTAATTAATCACCTCTCGCTTAAAATCAAGAGGGGGGACGGGGCAACCATTTCTTTTTACTGGCGTCACCTGTCGTGGTGAAACTGAAGTGTGTTGCTGCTGCTTTCTTAGAGCTTCTGTCTAAGTCTGATAAAACAGGTTAATTCTGGTCATTTAAACACTGTTTTAGCATTTTTTGTATAGCCTTGCCCTTTTATTAGTTTTATCAATAACATGTTTATGTGTGGGGTTATTATACATCTATATAAGAACTGTGTTACCAAGTTTATTGTGTGTTTAAGAAAAGACAGTATTGTTGGTTACAGTGCTATTCCAGGTGCTTTTTCAAGGGTTTATTTACACCTGTTTTACACTGCTCAATTGTTTTTAGTTTCTTCTGAGGCCCCGTTCATGTTTCTTATTCTTCAGTTAATTTCATGAACTGAATAGTGGTCTAGGGAGTTACAAAGTTAACTTTTAGAAGTGCTGTGTTTATTTCTATTGCACAGGTGAAAGGAAGCCTGTTTCCTTTATGAGCTTAAGGGAAAGTCTAACAAGGTGAAAGTTTTTCTCTTTTTCATATGGAGTGGAGTACAGTTTTTAATATTTGAATTACTTTATGGTTCAACACTTTATTATGGTAAGATTCTTCCATATAATAAATAGCTTAATTTTATTTTTATTTAATTTTAAAAATGTCCTGTGGAAGTAGTTTTAAACACTTCGTAAGGCCAGCCTCATCCCTTGCTATTTATTTTTCTGTTGTCTCTGTTCCTTGAAGGAAGCAACTTTTGTGTTTCGTTTGGGTTCTGTTCACTCTGTGCAAAAGTGCATAGAGACTCAAGTTTTTCCTTCTAATCCAAAGCAACCAGATTGCAGAAAAGTGTGCTCTTGATTCATCTGTATGTTCATAGTCACCATCTAAGAGCTGGATTTATCATTTGGCTTGCAATATAGCTAATGATGACTGGGAGTTTTGTGTTAAAATGATCCTACTTGAATATAGCTAAAAATAATGTTCCAGTATAAGGAGTAAGTGTGGAGACTTAAGCAATATTGATAAGAAGTCTTGAGGGACAAGATGCAGGTGTGCTGGAAAAGCCTAGTTAAACCAAAATCCAAGGAAGTTAATGTGGAGCTTGGCTGCCTTGGATGTATCTAGCTATCTAGGTGCATGTGCAGAGAAGAATGAAAAAGAAAATACATTTAAGGGGAACTTAAGCAATGAAGAGTTATAGGATGCCTTAGAAACTGTCTGTTACTTGTAGAAGTTTTGAGGAAACTGAAAGTAAAACAAAAGGAACCAGTAGTGTCTTAAAAAATGTTGTGAGAAGAGGCAGCAATGAGAAAAAGTTGCCTCCTCGGCAGCTATATGAAGAGAAACTAAGACTTGATTTTTGAAGGAGCAGCTTTATACTACAGTTGCATACATTTTCTCTGTTCTGTACATGCAAATTGAGATTTGGATTGGATTTGGATTTGTGGCTCTGCAGACAAGTTGTTCACTCTTTAGTCCCTGAGTTTAAGCCTTTTTATGTTGCTCACTGAAGAAATACCCAAGGCAAAGAAAGTGTGTATTTTTTGTAGTAGCTCTGCCAAGACTTCCACTTAGGTCCAAGGCAAAATTTTGCCTAATAAATGAAATATTAGTGTGGTTAACCTGACCTCTTCTGGAGAGTAGGATTTATGAGGCCTATAAATGAGGGAAATGATTTGATAGAGAAGCTGGTTTGGTTTAGACCTCTCCTGGAAATGTCTTTATGCTGAACATATCCTGAACAAAAATTTAGTTGTGTTTTGCTAGATTCATTTAAAGTGAAGTGAATGCAAGCCTGGTGATTGACTCTTGCTTTGTAATTAAACTGACTTTTTATGTATGAAAAGCTCTCTGTTCATACCTAGCCCTGTGAGTGAACCTTGCAAAATATAGATGGTTAATTTTGTATTAAACCCAAGTGACTACAGGTGATGTGATTAAAACCCAAGTGACTACAGGTAGGTTGATTAAAATGCAAGTGGCTACAGGTGGGTTGTTTCTTGGGCTCTGCTGTGGTGCAGTTTCTACCAGTGTAGCTACAGTAACATCTGAGTGTGATAGATCTAAACACAGCTGCTAAGGTTTTGTTTGTCAGTTCTTGCTCAAATTGCTTGTGCTTGGGATTCCAGATCCCAAGGCCTAAGTAGGTCTGCATGCCTCCACACCAGCAGCTTCACAAGAGATGCCAGCAGTTGAATCTTGGTGAGAGCTGACCACTGGTCTGTTGTGGCGTGTGAGTTTCCATTGAAACTCTTTTTTGGTTAACTTATTGTGTAACAAGCTTTGTTTTGTGCTGTTCAGTGGGTTCTTGGTAGAATTTCTGTAGAGTGTGGTGCTGTTATGTAGCAATGTTGCTGATCTGGTTTGAATACAACTGAGCACGCAGCAGTTGGTGATAGTGGTGGTGTCCCAAGCTGAGCACACTTCAAGAAGAAGCAAACTCCTTCTAAAATATCTGACCAAGTCAGCCAGTCATATACATCAAATAATCACTCAGCTCTCTTAAATGCCATTTTGAGTTGCTAGGATCCTGTGTTACCCAAAGTTTTAAGTGAACAGGAGAACATAACTATTCTAAGTTTTTATAGAGATCTCTAAGGCTGTTGTGTTTGGGTGACTTCTGTCTTCTCCACAGCAGATACCGCTTTTAGGTATGATCCTAACATAAAAAGAGAGCTAGTAGACTATATGTTGTTCATTAGCGGGAGAGACCATTTAACTAAATAGCCCATCTCTGAGAGTGGGGTTTATACATGCATGTTTTTATATATTTTTATACTTAATTTTTAATTTAAAGCTTGTAAGTTCTCCTTGTGGTTATTTTGATTATGCTGTTGGCAGAGTTTTGGTCAGTCAATAGTCAATAGACTTTTATTTTTGCAGGATGAAGAAAGGTACCCCATAAAAGAAACACAAGTGTTGTATTTGATAAGTTAATTTGGAACATTTTCTCCTCTTAAACTTTGGGGAAACAATTTCTATTGGTTTTAGAATGTCTATTATGTTAATCTTCGCAGTTTATTTGTTAAGATTCATGTGTAATATATGACTGTTCTCAAGGCTTATTTCATTTTCTCAAAAAAAAAGAAAAATTAAAGTATCTTTCACTGCAAATCTAATTTGAAGTTCCATTAGGTCTGTCCATGTCTGTATTTTGGTGCTGTTGGTGTGTTGAGACTCTATGGCCCTGCCATGTGAAAGGCAGGGTGCTCAGCTACTGTGAATATTCTTTGCTTTTACTTGAGACAGGTTTCATTGATGTCTTCTTGGAACATGCAGTTAGGCCAAGTTCATGGTTACCTGTAGCTATTTATGCTAATTCACTTCAGTAAGAGTGGTTCTCAACAAGAACCAACACCACTGAATTAATTTCACAGACATGGCTGTTATATTTGTACAGCTCCCAGCACATCAAGGACCATATTCCAATAAAGTTATTGCTGTACTATTGCTATGTTGTTATGCATGTATCTGTATTCACAAAGGGTTTTATAACGGTATTCATGTGCAATTTCACATTTGGGAGACACAATAGACAAAGTGCAAGGGAATAAAAGTTTTAAGCAACAGGAAGGTTTGCCTATGTTGTGTATAGGGAGGAAAGGGTAATGCACAGTGGTCTGGTTGAGACTGTGAGTTTCTAGCTTTTAGCTGGTGAGAGGTATTTTCTTGTCTTTGCATCATCTTTGTCTTTGCTGCCTAGGAGGGGGGAAAAAAAGCCGCTATATAGTTAAAAATCCATGAAATATTTTAAAATAGATTGTCTCAACATAGGGAGAAATGGGCAAATATTCTTGGGACACTTAAGAGTAAGTGAATGATTTTTAGGATTAATAGTGAAATACTGACCTGTACCATGCCATTATATGGATCAATTTTAACATTGTCTTGTTATAGTTTGTTCATAGTTCATTAATTTCTTTTTTTCTTTGCTGTTCTGCCTTATCTCTTAAGATGAAAACCTAACTTTGCTTATTGAAAGATAAAATGGGTTCCTTTAGAAGTGGTATTTGAGAAAATTAAAATTAATGTAACAACTGAGATGCAGTTAAATAAGCTTGTTGCCGTGTTATACTTCTGCCTAGGTAAATGGTGGGCACGTTTTAGCAGAATCAGCAGCCAATATACCGGTAGTGATTTTTGTGGTAATCACATTATTGGCCCTTAACACTATTAATGAGACAATAATTAAGAAATATTGTGGATAGCTGCATAACGTGTGATTTGTATATTGGAAATGGTCAGGTAGAAGTCTTGCATATGCAGAATGAACTGTGAGATGGAATGAATGGCAAATGTGCCTTTCTTTTAAATTCATCACATCCCTGCTGCTTAAATTGCCTCAGCTGCTAATGCTGGAACCATTACAGTAATGGACTCAGCAAATGAAGGAGAACCAAGACACACACACTATTACTGCAGGGGTAATTTTCTCTTCATCTGTAATCGCAGCAGTGCCTAGTATTGATCAGACCATCAAGATACTAATCCTCTGTAAAATTACTTGTTATAACTGAAAACGTGTTAATTCAAATCAGTCTGTGTCCTGAGTTTGTACTTACTATGGAATACAGGACTACTGGATGGTTTATTTTTGGTTATTTAAAGCCTTTATATTGATAAGAGTTAGAGCTTCCTCTATGAGAGCAAGTACTTAATCTTAGCTATGGCCCAGAGTTGTTGTCTTCTTTTAAATAAGACATCACCCACTTA